TTGTAATGTAAATCCTGTTCATTTTTTTTGTTTGTTCACTGTGATACCTGTATTCCCCACACGGTGGCGCTGTATGGCTTTATGCAAACGTTGAAAGATGACAGTCTCGAGCACTTGCGGTTGAGAAAGCATCAGAAGGGTTTTATGTTTTGCTGGAGAAAGATCCGTTTAGGCCACAAATGTTCATACTCGACCATATCGACGTGCCACTGCTGTTCTGTGTGGATGTTTTGTGTACCGTTATTTTAGTGATAACGCTGTAATAACGCCCGTTGGTTCTGTTTCTGAACTAGTGAAGAGAAAGAGAAATAAAGAACCCCAACATTTGAAGTACGGTGCTCTATAACCCTGGCTTCACATGTTAGCCTCAGCATAATTGCCTGCGTCATTTTTTTTGGCCAAATAGAGACATCTGTGTAACTCTACTCTCCTACCTCTGCTGCATCACTCTGTCTTACTGCCTTTGTCCTCAGCCTCTCAGAACTTTTGTAAGAGTCTAAAATCACTTTCTGCCCGAGTCATCTCTTTGACTTGGGCATTTTTGTCACTACAAACAAAGATGACGGACCACATGAGAAAGAGGCCTCAGCTGATCACAAACGAAGCATTAGCTCTTCTCTTTGAGTCATTTGGGGGGCTAGTTCATATTTCTTCAACTTTGTAGACAGTAAATGTACTTTCAGTCAATCAAAGGGGTTAGGAACTGTGTGATTAAACTTTTAATCACATTTCTGCGACAAGGTGTGATGAAGTGTAAAGAGATTTGTTTTGACTAGAAATAAGAGAAGTATTCTTGATAAGATTTGGAGGTTTTGCAGTGAACCTGTTTATTTACCATGGTTTTATATTATATTTGATATACCGTATTTTCCGCACTATTAGGCGCTCTGGATTATAAAACGCACTGTCATTAAATGGTCTATTTTCGAACTTTTTTCACAAATAAACCGTGTGGGACTTTAAAGGAAACACAACAGTTAGATGGGTTAGTGGCTTTGTTTGTTTGTGGCGTTCATGGTGATTCTGGGCTTTGTTTGTGGTGTGTAGGGAGGGTGCTGTCTGGGATCGCTGGATTGTCGGCGTGTTCGCAGTGACTCAGTTGTTCAGTTGTGTTTAGAAGTGGCACATTGCACTTGCTTTTTCGGTTCGTTCCTCCGTTCCGTTCCTCGTCGGCGTGGAGTGATGAGTGTGTCTGTGGGTGTTTTGCTGTGTGGTCGCTGTCTGCTCCGTGTGTGTTTGTGTGTTCTGAGGGTGGTGCGGCTTTGTATTTTACTGAAGTCGTGCTGGGACACCCGAGTGAATTCATGTACAGGGCGCTCTGGATTGTGGGGCGCGGTCATTTTTTGATGGGGTTGGAGGCTTAAGAGCGCGTCCTATAATGCAGAAAATATGGTACTTTTAGAAAAAATTGTCAATCACAAGAAACCAAAAGTCACTGAAAATTTCACAACTGCATAAAGCATAAAGGTGAACTATGCAACTTTTAGCAGTCTAAGCAGGGACTTCCCTTTCCACACCCACTTCCTCCAGCTCTTCCGGGGGGACCCCAAGGCCTTCCCAGATGTCATCCCAGCCGAGAGACATAGTCCCTCCAGTGTGTCCTGGGTCTTCCCCGGGGCCTCCTCCTGAGGGAGGCGCTCAGGAGACAGATGCCTGAGCCACCTCAGCTGGCTCCTCTCAACATTTGAGACCTTTAGAATTTACTAAAATTGTGAAAATAAATTTTGTTACATTAAAATAGTTAAGGCTGAGGATTAAATGAAGCTTTGTTCCAGTACAAAAAAGCGAATGGTAGTTTTTACATACCTACACTTGAAAACGGGTCAGTTTTGACCCGAACACAATATAAAGGTTCAAGGCTACATGCAATATGGTAAACAAAGCATATATAGAGAGATTTTAAAAATGCATTTAAGATTATAACAAATACATCTGGACAATACAGACAATTGTCCAGATGCTTCAGTGTCTGGACAATGGACCCTATTTAAGTTTTTCAAGCATAACTATGTATAAAATGTATATTATAGTTTAATTGAATCTTATAAAGACATACAATAACACAAAGTACATAGAATGCAAATACAATACAGTAATTACAAAATGTAATCACTACATTGTGCATTATTATAAGACTGTGTAAAACTAACTTAAAGCTTATTTCATTCATTCTTTCTTTAGAATCATATGTATGGTATTTGACAATTAGTATTTAAAGAAGTGATTTAAGATTGTAACAAGTACTACATCTGGATCATGCACATAATGAACTTCAGTATGAACAGTGTGAATTGAAGTCAACTGAAGTAATATTGGTACCACAAGGTCATGGTCATTAAATGTACTACCTAGAAATGACATGAACAAGGGCTTTGTCTGAACCAAAGAGACGTGTACAAAAGGATGTCGGAGGTAAAGATGGTTTATTGGAATAAACTGACAACATCAAATTCTGAAACAGGATCAAAGAGTAAAACTGGAAACTGCAGCTGTGATTACAACAGGTTAGAAAAACTCAAAACAAATAAGTGGGGGGGGAAAAAACAAACAAACAAACAAAAAACTGACAAAGCAGAGGGTTTCACATTAAAAACATCAATGGACAATTTCTCATCCTGACAGTCCAGGTGGAGCATCAGAATGTCCTGCACAATGTCACGGTGGCACAGGGGTTAGTGCTTTCACCTCACAGCAAGAAGGTCCTGAGTTCAGTTCTGAGATGGTGCGGGGTCTTTCTGTGTGGAGTTTGCATGTTCTTCCTGTGCCTGTGTAGGTTTCCCTTGGTGCTACCATTTTCCCCACCACTAAAAATGCACAATAGGGACTCCCCAGAAAAATGACACTTATCCTCAGGGTGACTATTCTGGTTAAATAAAGGTTAAATGAATAAAATTATTCACATTATTCAATGTTTATATATACATATATATATATATATATATATATATATATATATATATATATATATATATATATACACATATATACATATATATATATACATATATATACATATATATACATTATATATATTATATATATATATATATATATATATATATATATATATATATATATATATATATATATATATATATATATATATATATATATATATATATATTATATGTCGTGGACAAAATTGTTGGTACCACTCTGGAATCGAATGAAACAAGTATCATCACTGAAATAACTTGGAACTGATAAAAGCAATAATGAATACAAATTTACTGAAAATTGTCCAATGAAAATCAAACGTTGCTTTTCACCTGTGGTTAAACAGAATTATTAGAAAAAAACTAAATAAACTTAAGTGGCTAAGAAACAGCTCAATGGCAAGAACAAGGCGCCGCCAATAAACAGTTCGGCCCTGCCAGTGATCAGATCCCAGCAAGAATCATGCACTGGCCAAAGGAGGAGATACAGACCACATGTTAAGACACGAAAGCTCCTGACCATGTGGAGGGTTCATCCCAAACCCAGCACCCTGAGACTGTACACAAGCTGGAAAGAAGGAAGTCGAGGACTAGTGAGTGCGGGAACCACTGTCCAGGATGAAACATCCAAGCTCCATGAGTACATCAAGGCCCCGACAGATGAGGTGCTCAGAGAATGTCTCAGACAGTGGGGTTCAGAGGAAGAGGAGCTGGAGGGACCATCATGTCAGGACAAACCCCTACACAAAGCTGTTTAGTGATTTGAAGGATAAATAATACGCAAGTGTATCTATTTTGCAAAAAGCAAACTGTGTTAAAGTAAGTGCCATTTTCCATCTCAACACTAGAGCATTGGTTATTTGCCGATACTTAAAGGTGCACTATGTAACATTTCTGGTGGTATGGCTTTATTTCCATGGAGACTAGAAGGTAGCACCACCAGGCCAAGTTACAGGTCAAGATCCATGAGTCATGGATGCTTATAATAAGAATGCAGGTTTTTAATGTAGAATTGGATGCTATGTAGAGCATTTGAGGCAAAGCAGTATCCCATACCACAAAAGTTGCATAGTGCACCTTTAAAGCCAAAGTATCGATATTGGTATCGGGACTGAAAAAGCTGGATAGTGCATTCTGAATTCAAAGTAATTTTAAGTCCCTTAAATTGTTCCAAAATTGTAACTTTTGTTAACAACTTGTTTAGATTCAACCTAAGTTTTGTTGTAGTGTCAAAACGAAATCCAAATGTTGTGTACTTCATTGTGTGGAACATTCTTTGCTATTAAATAATAACTGATAATAAATAAGTAAAGGGTGTGCAAACTTCTGCTGAATCATCCCAAATACTGACCCTTTCATTTTTAAGCACTGACCATTCTCCTACAGTCTCACAGACAGTTTTAAAATGTCTTTTCTTGAGTGAAAGACTTTTGATCCAGTCACATTTGTCCCAAAACAAAATATTATGAGATTAAGATGCATTTTTCAACTCTCTTTTGTTTTCATGCTGTGTTTGGTTTCCTTCAAGACTCACTGTTTAAGTGCTTTTCTTCCAAACCTCAAAATCAGCATTTTCATTAGTCATTTTCTCTCCTACTGCAAAAAATTGACAAAGCACACAGATTGGTCACAAAGTTTTGTTGTTGTTTGTTTTTTTTACTTCTACAGAGTCTAGTTGTTACTGCTTGTTTTCTCAATATTTTTGTTGATACAGCATCAGAAAAAGGAAAAAAGTCCTGATCCTGGTTTGGATCTGATTTTGACATATTTACGTCCTGGTTTAGTCCCAAACATTGCAATACTGTAGAGAAAAAAGTCCTTTTGGGCCTCATTTAGATCTGGTTTCTGCTTCTAATTAGGACCTGAATAAGGCTTGGTTTTGTCCTAAAGATCTGGTTGAGACCTGGTTTAGACCCCAGTTTAGACCTGAGTCCTGTTATGGACCTGGTTAGTCTAGACTCTGGTTTATTTAGACATTTAAAATTGTGTTGGTTTAGACCTGATTTGGACCCATTTTACTTTCTGTTGATGCTGTGCATCTTCTCAAGTCAATTTAAAACAAAATTCAATGACACAAACTCTTGCTGCTTTATTGTCTTCTCAATCCAAACTGCATCAAATCACTTTTTTGTCCCCAGATTTTTTTTCAGCCTCTTTCTCAGTGTTGAACATTAGTTCTTCAACAGGCCACAACTGATATTTTGCAGTAAACACTGGGGGGTTCTACATGTATGTCTATGGCTGAATGTTCAGTAGTTACCAAGGAGACACAGTGGACACATTAATAGTCTAAGACTCAAGAAAAAAATCCAACATGGATTTAAAAAACACATTTTTAGGAGCCTGTGATCAATACACGTGTTCATGGTCCTGTTCAGGAGTTTGATTTTCAACAAAAAGGTGAGAGTGTTAGTGCTCAAACTGAACTTGAGTAACAGAGCTTCAGACAGAGCAGTGCCTACAGTTAGCATCACACCAGGGAATGTTGATGGAAACAGCTGCAACATATCAGTAATTAAATTTTATGGTCCAGTTTCTCAAAAAACCAGTCACAATTTCACCTCCAATACTTGTGTCCCCCTTTCTTGTTTTTTAAGCAGCTCCCCTCTATACTGTTCAAAAATGTCCAAAACTATTTCTTAAATACTTGTAGCTTGAGTGTCCAGTTGTATTCTCGATGAATATACAATTCCAAATTCCAAATCCTTCTGATAATATTTCAACGTTTCTCTTGTCTTTAGGTGTTGACAGGTCTTCAGCAAGCCTTTATACTGTTTAGAAAAGTTCCAACTTTTTTAGGGTTTATTTGTTGTTTTTTTGTTGTTTATTTGTTCTCTATCATTTCAAAATCAGCTGGGTCAGCTGCATTCTCAATAAAACCACAATTTCAAATCTCAAATCCTTTTCACAAAATTTTAAGTCACAGGTCACCAATAACCCTTATTTCCTGAACTCTTAAGGTACACTTTATTGTCTCTGTGGGGAAATGTGTCCTCAGCGCTTAACCCAGCCTTCAGTGCCTCTATATTAATACTGCATTTGACCCATTCTTCAGTGTCTCTGAAGACACGGTTTCTCCTGCTGTATTCTCTGTAAAACAACATCTTCAAAATTCCAATCCTTCTCACAAAATTTCAAAGTTTCTCTCACTAGTTTTCAGGCGTTCAGGGGTCTGTAGTGGTCCACAGCACTGTCTAGTGCCTTCTCAATAATTACAAAATCCATTCACCCATTTTCCTCAATTTCCAAACTACTCTTGCAGCTTTAGGGTCCAGCTGAATTCTGAATAAAACCACAATTTCAAATCCTTTTGGAAATATTTCAAAGTTTCTCTTGCTTGTTTTCAGACATTGAGATTACAGCAATCCATAATATTGATCAAGAACAACTTTTTAAGCAGTTTTTTTTCAATGTCTTCTCGATCATTTCAAAATCCATTCACAAATTTTCCCCCAATTTTCAAAACTACAATGTTGTCCAGTTGTTGTGGCTTTTCCGTTGATCAAAACTAAATCCATTCACATTTTTTTCCCATATATTTGAGTCCCCATCTCCCTTGTTTTTAAGCAGCAACCTTCTACACTGTTTAGAAATGTCCAGTTGGATTCTCAGTAAAAACATCATTTCAAATCCCATATCCATTTTCCAATATTCTTGTTCTTCTCTCCGTTTTCACACATTGATTGGTCTCCACCGGTCTTCCACGCTGCTGCCATAGGGTCCAGAGACCACGTCATCAAGATAGGCCCCTGCCCCCTGGCCTCTGCCCAGAGACGAGGCATCAATCTGGGTGGAGGAGTAGTACAGGCCCTGGTCTAGAACATCACGTCTGTGGATGTGAGAGCCCAGAGTGGGTGGGAGGTGCACATCGCTCTCCTCTGGTTCATCGATTTGGGACTTATAGGAGAACAGGATCTTTGGCTCAGAGCTGAGGGATAAGACAGACAGAAAGAAAGAGTTTAAGGGAGGGTTTCAACCATGTTATGTTCCCTCATCAAAAACATGCCTGAAGAGGTTTGAGATGTCATCCATGCATGTTTGAGTAATAAAGCAATCTGTCCTGGGCCCTATTCTACCTGTCTGCTCTATAGTTATAATCTACAACACATGGATAATTAGGTGAGCTTTTTTTTTTTTTTTTTTTTTTATATTTATATCAAAATGACCACATGACGCTGCCGAAGCCTATGCACATCACACATTAAAACAATAAAACTGGAAAACTAAGTAGATCACAGTGGGCAGTCTTGAGCAGCAATCAGCAATCTTAAAAAGAAGTGATAAAAAAGATCGCTCAAACATGCACCAGTCACTCCAAATACAACTTCAGAGGGTCAGTAAGATGGAACTATAATATGGTTAAAATTTCTAAAAAGTCGATATTGTAGAACAGGTCTGCTTTAAAGAAAAGATTTGATAGAAGACTCACCCGAAGAATCCTTTGAGGAAAGTGATATAAATGAGAGGAGAAAAAGCCGAGAAGTACAGGAATGTGGTGAGGTCCACACAGCTGCACAGACACAAGAGACAGATGATTAGAGGTGACATTTAAAACTATAATAAAATAATGATATTGTAAAGTTCAAACCAGAGTCCCTGGATGACCCCCGCACACAGTAGAGCACTGCCCACCCCCTGGACCAGGTTGAGCAGAGACAGGATCAGTGCGTACACGTAAAAACTGCGCTTCGCTGGAGAGAGGAGAGACCGTTAAACAGAAATCATTCTCACAGATTTGATTCATATGCACAAGTTTAAAACTTACAGAAGTACAAATTATTTGGTTGGATGATAATTGTGATTATTCTTGTCACAATATATTTTTTTAAGAATTAAATAAATAAAAAATAAAAACAGTTGTCAGTAATTGTGAATAATCATAAAATTGTAGCACTGATATTTGATATCGTAACATCCTTATATTTTTGTAAATGAAGGGAAATTATTTGACTTCATATTTGTCATATAGTCTAAAAATATTTTTTTTGTTTCACTGCAGATTTTGTTCATTTGAATATCTCTAAATTATATTGTAATAGGTAACCCAATGTTAAGAGCCTCTTCAACTGTACGTAGTTTTTTATTAATCAAACATAAATAGCAAAGAAATATTATTTCTCAACAGAACTAACCTTGATTCTAACTGGATCAATATCTTCAACTAATTTGTTTTCCCAACCAAAATAAATAAAATAAATAAAAGTCATGATGACAAAACTTGTTGCTCACATGGCAGCGATATCCGTTCTCTGATTGGAGTTTTGGGCAGAATTACTATTAAAGAGTAAACCTAAAACAAAATCAAAAAATCACATTAATAACCCATGTGTCTGGACTAGTTTGGCCTGTGCTTCTTGCTGTAGACTTTGTCACTGACCAGGAAGAAAAAGCAGGAGCTGGCCAACCAAAAGTGGCGTCCTCCGTGTCCATAGATGTTGAAGTCCTCAGCAGAGAGATGGCTGTCCGGGTACAGGATCTCCAGAGCACCCTGAAGGTAAGGGGAAAAAGGCCAAGTCTCATAAGCCAAACGTAAGGATTTACAAGTCACAGATAAACTAAGGGTAAACTTTATTTTACCATTGTTCAGTTTCTCCAGGTTAAACCATAGACTGATTATATTAGTGTCAACGCGTCGACAAGTGTTGAGCTCAGCAAGTAACACCTGTGTCGAGCTGTATGTATTGCTTCAAGAAAAGTCACATGACCGACTTAATATACTACGTCATTCTGTGTGGCTCGTGTCCACAGTTCTATGCTCGTGTCAGGAATGCTGAGGCAGCTCAAATCTTCGGCTCAAATCTGTCGCAGTGTCTCAGTTCATCACTACAGAACCAGAGAAACAGAAGATGGGCCTGTTCTGTGTGGGCACAGTTTTCATTAGTCCCAAATTCTATTTACTGAAATAACTATATTATTTTACTATAATTTTCACAACCATTCACCTCGTCATGTGTCACATATATGCTTACTTTATTCTACAATATTCTATTTGCTTTAATAACATGAGATCCCATTACATTGTTGGTCAGTTCTTTCATTTGATGGATATCAGAGTGATGCATCTATCACAAAAGAGTGTTCACATGTCTGAATGAACGAGCCCTGTATTGTGTCTTTGCTTCTGCATAGGGAGAAGTTCATTTTTTACACCACCAGATGGCACTATGGGACACACCAACACAGTGTAGGAAATGTGTTACACACAACTTGAGGCCTTATCTACCCATCACTAGATATAAATGGACATAGCTAACTTGCTAGTCTCCGCATTCCAAACAGGAAGTGAGCATGGGGGTACTTCCGGCTCCATCGACTCTGACTCTATTGGACTTTACATTGAAAAACACTTTCTCTGTAACTACTGCAGTGAGTCTAATCATTTTGGTCTTAAAATGTTCACTCTACAAAATCCTGGTGCTTATTTTGCTAATTTAGTTTCAGTAAACAAATTCCTATTCCTAATCTGGAACTTGGTTCCAGATTCACCTCTATAAGCCTTGACTGGAGCCGAATGCTATGGATGACGTTATTTAGTTTATTTCTGAGACAGGGACAGTGCGTATTCTACATGAACCTTAACAGGAGAGATGCTTTGTGCCAGGATGTAACACTAGAGCCAATTCCCATCCGTTTTCCCTGGTGCATCTTTTTTTTTTTTTTTTAGGTTTCATGGGGGAATCTGAGTGCCTGGAGGAAACCCACCCAGACACAGAGAGAACAATGCAAACTCCACACAGAAAGACCCAGGTGACCCAGGGATCAAATCCAGAACCTTCTTGTTGTGTTTTATTCTTTTAATCTGCTGTTTTGTACTTTTTCATTGCAACACTAAATGTTCTGCATAGTGGGACAAATAAACAACAGGCAAATTTCAGTTTTGCAAATGCAAAGTATAGAAATAAAAATAAATATTATAGCATTCATTCAAATTGCAATTTAGATTCTAAACACACTGAAAGCCCCTGGCTCACCTGAGTGATGGAATAGGCCAGAGCCAGAACTGCAGTGATGCCCAGAACACGCTTTATACTCGACTTACTCTCCAGATGACCTGAGAAATGGACAGGGATATACAAATATACACAGAGATTATCACAGAGATACTGGCAACGTTTAACAAAGCATGAGTAAAATCTTTATTAATCATAAGAATTGAAGTTTACCAAAAGCCAGTCCGAAGATGACGACGCTGAGCTCGATCGCCAAAAGGAAGAAACGCGTGATCTCCCACAAAACCTCAAGAGGGAAAAGAAAATATTCACTTTTATTCAAGTGGAACTAAACACTAAATCCACTTTTTTCACTACTAAACACTGTACAGTATAGGGTGTTTTAATAGTAATATCTACCATTCTTTGTCCTTTTTTTTTTTTTTTTTTTTTTGCAATTTTAGTACAAACTAGATGTACAAACTACATGTCCAGCTTTGCGTGTCTTGGTTCCAGTGGCCACTGCCAATTTCAGGTATGGAGGTCAACAGCCCCGCCCACTTCAAGTTGGCTTCGATTTTGGAAGCAAATTCTCCATTCATTTTTCCCTTTTCTAGAAATTAAAAGGCATCGCATAGGCTAACCATCTACTTGCTTACTAATGTCCAAAATGCTGTTGTTTTTTAGTGCAAAAAACACATTTAAAACTCAAGATTCGGTTAAATAATTGAATACCTTTATAATGTTTATAAAGTTTCAGAAAGTGATTTTGAATAAAATGAGCTGATCAGCCCTGAGCTTTCAAACTTCTTGAAAAGTGTAAGGCTACGTTAATATGATGAGGGTCTGAACAGAAGACACAAAAGTGGCGTCGCACCTTCACTTTTTATTCCACTTTTAGACAAGTGCTTTCAGGAGAAAATCAGTGTGCATACTGTGACGCAAAAGTATGTGGAATTGGATTGGGTATGCATGCCAGGCGGCTAGGTGATGACACTAGGTGGTGATGTATGTGACGTAAACATGTACGTGACATGAGCACATCTGACCAGAGTTTTGCATCTTGGGCAGTGTAGACGGAAACGCTACAGCTGAGCATATCGACTTTTCCACTCTGGAGGGTGGTTTCAGACTTTTGCGTTTTTAAGTCCCAAAAACGCCGTCACCGTCTAAACAAAAAGGCACGTCCGATAAAATATTTTGTTGTTTTAACCTGCAAGGGTTCATGAGAAATTTACTTCTGCAACCAGGGGGTTGGGTAGTCACTGTTGAGCAAAGGACACCTCTGATTGCAGCGAGGTGGGAAGGCTAAAGGGGAAGCGTATGAATTGCGGATACCTTTTTGTTCAGTAACTTGTATCTGTGCACTGCCACCACTGCAGAACATGTGGAACAAAACTATATGTGAATACAGCAGTGGAATGTGAGGAAAAGGCTAAACCAGGAACTAAACAAGGGACTAAACCAGGGGGAAAAAAAATGTGTTGAGAAATAATTAAACTTAAGTTTAAATGTATTGTTTTTTTTGTTTTTGTTTTTTTACCTTATCGATGATGGTGGCAGCGCTCGAGGCGCTGACTGTCATAGAAACAATAGCTCTGGTGATTCCCACTGCAGCAACAACAAAAACCTGGAACAGAAAAAGTTTACTTCTTTAATAATACAAACAATACTACTGACCCTCTCCTCTACATTCTCTGCTCCTCATCAGTACAGAGTAAGTATTTTTTTACCAGTAGGTAGAAAGTGATGAAAATGGGGCTGGAGGTGACTCGGATCTTGGCTCTGGCCGAGGGCAATTTCCACATCAGGAACATGAAGAAGGCCACATTTGGGACCAAAAGCAGCAGGTCCCAGTAACGAACCCTACAGACAGAGAGCAGTGTTGAATTAAGTTTGCATACAAACTATTGAGTCTGTTAAAGGAGTCATATCATGCTTTTAATTGCATTTATAAACCAGCAAATCATTTATATAGGCTCTGAATAAAGTTTAACAGCCATGTTTTGGTCTAATTTGCCTTTTATTGTAACCCAGTTGATCAGTGCAAAAGTGTCATTGACAGTTACAGAAATCGTTTGTTTGCAGAGTTCACCTCAAAAGGTTGTGTAATAAAATATAAAGTTAAGGGTACCATCATTTTTGTCTAGGCCAGTTTCATTATTTTGTTTTTTCTTATAATTCTGTTAGACCACAGGTAAAAAGCAATGTTTTGATTTTTGTTGAACAATTTTCAATACATTTTTTATCTATTATTGTTTTATCAGTTTCATGTTATTTCAGTGATTATTGTTGATTTTTCTTTCATTGCCAGAGGGAACCAACAATTTTGTCCACAAATGTATAGTACAAATAATAATAATAATATTGCATCAGTTTTATATAGCCCTTTTTTGGACACTCAAAGATGCTTAACAGATCATAATTCAGTCACTCCATACCCGGTGGTGATAAACTAATATTGTAGCCCGAGCTGCTCTGGGGCAGACTGACGGCTGACTAAATATTCTAAATACAATATATAGAAGTCACACTGCAAGCACACACAAAATCAGGATAAATATTAAAACTATAAATAAGACACTGCACACAAAAACTCTATATAAATACTGTTTTATAAATAGAAAAGTAATTACTGCATACAAACTCACCATAAATACTGTAATAGAAATATAAGTCACTGCACACAAAAGAGCTATATAAACATTGTAAAATAAAAAAGTCACATTTATTGAGCTTAGCAAGGTCAGTAGTTCTTATTGCACATTCATTGTAACTTTTTTTCTTCTGCTTCATGCCTTGGTGCTAGAGCTGTCTGGGTCAGAAGGTGGGTGTTGTCCTGCTGTTTTGTGTGGTCCCCAAGATACAGCAGGATTGTCAAGATGCAGACTCACACGAGACTAAGGTTGTATTAAAAAAAAAAAATCTGATAGAAATCTATACTTAAACTAGTATCAAAACTAAGATACTCATTTTGAGCAGGTGTCAATACTTTAAAAATCCCATTCACAGGACAGAAATGAACCGTTCCTGATTAGCTTTAGAATCATACTGAGTTGTATCGACACAGACTAGTATACGCCCATAGACCACTATGAAATCACCACTATGGACCACGGAGGGATTACACACATAAGGACACACAGTAATATAAAAGAAAGTACTACCATTTAATGGTGAAAACCACATTCTATTTTCTAAAGAGGTTAAATTTTTTTTGTTATCGTCATGGTATACACGTATATTGAGTATGGATTCCTTCTTCCTGTCAGTATTTTTACCTGGACTGGCCGATGTCCTCGTAGAGCAGCTGGAGGCAGCGGTGAGGTTTGGAGATATTGCTCTGTGTGTCCGGCTGCAACGTGGGAAATACAGAGGAGTTTGGTAACCACGGCAATGTGCTGCCATTGTAGTGAGCAAATCTGACCACCGCCGTAACCGTGGGCAACATGATGTCATCACCTGAGGGACAAACATTATCAGTTTAGGATGTTTGAAGAAATTAAAGATGCACTATGTAATTTTTCAAGTGGAGGATCACAAACCCCCTTATTTCCATTCACATTATTTGCCTGTAATGTGCCACAGTAGAGTATTAAACATATCTATCTCCATGGAGAGGAGCAAGTGACAACACACAAAACCTTTTTCCCCCCAAAAAACATCCGTGATTAAATAAATGTGAGATAGATACATTCATAGATAAGCTTAACGCTATACTCCATGGAGACACAGGTGGTGGCCCCTCACCCAGAAAAAGCTACATTGTGCACCTTTAATACAAATCAAGTTTAGAATTTCAAAGACAGTTCAATAAGCACCATTACCAGACAGGAGAGCACCTGACGGACAGGCTATTGTCCCTGTCCTGCTCCACGAACACACTCTGGAAGTCACTTGTTCCACACACCATACGGCTAAACAATGCTTCACTATAAATGATGAATTGCTGCTACTTATGATTATGATGCTTAATTGTTGTTGCCGAAAAATGAATTTCCTTCAAGATAAATAAAGTATTTATCTATCTATCTAATCTGTATTCTTAGGTAATTTCTGATGAAAACTTCTGATAAAGTTTTTCAAAAATGTCAAAGTCCTTCCAACTTCTAATTCTAATTCTAACGAATTAATCAGTATTGTAGTTGTTAAAGTCATAGTTTTAGTAGTAGTAGGATTGTGTGCTACATATTGCATTGTTAACATTAGATTCATAAGAGAGTGGAGTGAATGAATAACGCAGGAAATTGTATGACTTTGAACCTCTGAAAAAGTGCTATATAAGACAAAATTATTATAAAGGAATAGAATATTTTATGATTACTATGTAATAATAGGGATGTAAAGATATTATGATATGATATGCATCTCACAGTACAATATTTATTGTGATATTTTGAAGAGGCTGATATAATTATAGATAGGACACTTTTTTGCTTTTAAAATACCTTGACAAGATTTTGGTGTGAATTATTTCCATCATAATCCCAAGAATTCAAATAAAAAACTTATTTCTTTGTGTTGTCTGCATTGAAATGAATCAGTGAATGAACAGTTCCCTATTTATAAGCTGTTGCTACTATTAAAAAAAATGCATTTAAGCAAAGAAACTTGTAATATGATATACTGTGACAGCACACAAAATTATTGTGAGACTTTTGACGATACGATATCACGATATTTCTCTTACTGTTACAAACCTATGTAATAATACTGAGATCTTTAGTTTTAATGCTAAACCAGCTAAACGTTCCTTTTCTATTCACAGGGGAATGACTATTAAAACCCCAATAATCCACCAGTGGAGGCACAAATCATTTTCCATTCAATTTGTGAAGTATAAATGTCACTTACTGCCCATATTTACTCTTTAAACAGACATTTTGGACCAGTGTAGTCTCTTTTATAAGTACACAAGTACAGTTCAGGTTGTTTTTAGACTATTGGGGAGAATTTGTGTCTCTTGTATTAATGGGGAACACTGCATAATAGTTCAGACATATTCACAAATCTTCAATAAAGCAAAACATGGCTTTAGAATATAAATAAAAGAAAACTATTGTACTGAACTTTTGACAGAAGAGGACTGGAGGTAGCATTAGCCGATGAATACCAACAGTAGCCACCTGACCCTCGTCTTATCACGTTATGTAATCTAAATATTGATTTTACTTGACACAAAGCAAATCATAACTAGTATATTATCAACGTTTCATCAGAATAATGGCTTCATATGACAGATAATAAACAACACGATAAATAAAACCAGTTTATTGAAGTTAGCATAACACAGACTGTATGGCATAACCTGACATTCTGCGTGGAAAGGCGGTAAATAAAGAGGAAATTAACAGATAAAGAGACAGATCTTACCTGTTCGGGGGAGGCGTGTTTAAACGGGTTTAGAGAGGTTAAATCAGGGGCTCATTCGGACAAAGAGCAGACAATTCGCAGCAGAAAAATGTCCTGTTCATGTTTTCGTTTCGTAGATTTCCCCGTGATCAGCTGACAACAAGCACACATCCCGCGAGACTTCATAGATCACGCGGAAACACACGAGAACATAAAAAATAATAATATATATATTTTTTAAGTAATTAAATTGAGTACAAATTTGCTTGCTCTACCACATCTGCAAATATCCCGTTGTTGTGTAAATAGAAACTTCACTTCAGACACTTTGAATTTGCTCGACACAATGCCCGGAAGTGCAAGCAGACATCCCGCGAGACTTCACAGATCACGCGGAACAGACACAGGGCATGGAATGAGTCTCAAAACTTTCTAATGGTTACAATAAAAGAACAAATGTTCAACAGTTTCTATTTCACTGTTACATGTTAAATGTGCAGTTATTGGTCTCCATATTAAAACGCTTTTTTCAACAATTCATTGCAGGGGTAAATATCATTTTAAATTTTAAAATTAGTTTCTTTGGCTTTAGGGGAGATTGGAAATGAGAGAAACGCAATCCACCGCCCTGAACGAGCCGACTCAACAGCGCCTCCTGGAACTGGAGTTCTAAGGCAAACATGAGGTAAATTTTGGCGTTGGCAAAGAAATTTGGAACAATAATAGAAAACAATGGGCGCATCTAATTTCTTTTTCATCGCGTTCTTCTCCTTGATTCGAGGAGATGGGTGAGGAAGTCCCAGCCAAAGAGGAGACACAGGGAGGAGAGAAGAGCAGAAGAAAGAGGAGCAGACGAGCACAGGAGCAGAGGAGAGGAACAGAAGAGAGAAAAGCAGAGGAGAGAGGAACAGAAGAAAGGAGAGAGGAGCAGATGAACACAGGAGCAGAGGAGAGGAACAGATGAGCACAGGAGCAGAGGAGAGGAGCAGAAGAGAGAAAAGCAAAGGAGAGAGGAACAGAGGAAAAGAGGAGCAGAAGAGAGAAGAACAGAAGAGAGAGGAACAGAGGAGAGAAGAACAGAGGAGAGCAAGAGAAGAAGAGAGAGAAGCAGAGGAGATGTCCTGGTTCCAGACGGGGGCAAGCAAGACCAGCGCAAAGGACTAGGTCCGAGTGCTTCAGTGCCGTCATCTGTGCGCTGGTTCCGTGTGGGGAAAGTGAGAATGTGCTGTGGACTACAGGTCGGGGCTGCTCCGGTCCTCCGCACTCGACCGCGGCTGGTTCCAAGGTGGTGCAAAGCAAATTATATTTTTGTCCACCCAGGTTTGAAAGAAGACTGATTTTTTTTTTTTTTTTTTTTTTTTTTTTTTTTTTTTTTTACTGTTTAGAAAGTTTTCATGGCTCCATATTGTACTTGTGTGAGGAGAAAAAAATGTTGATAACAAATCTTCCATGCAGTTAGAGCTGCTGATGCAAGTCAGACAATTTGATTGACAGTTTGGTTACATTAAAGTTACATTTCAGTATAAATTGTAGACCTCTGATTTTCTTAAAAATATTACAAGGGATAAAGTACCATAGAGAGTCAATTTTTAAGCACTTCTGAAGTCATTTGATTTTGAAAGTGTAATTTAAAAATTCAAAGTCCTACATCTCTATGTCTCCTTCACTATTAGAGTTTGTTAGAACAGATTTCTTTAGGTGATAGTGGTTGTTTTTCCAGATGAACTTTGTTAAGGTCTTATAACTTTCTCTGGCAGTTGAGTCCTTTACATAGAGTGAGAGCGCAGGATAAACCTGTCTGGAGATACCTACAGGCTTAGTAAACAGTATACATTCAAAAGTAGAAATGTCCCTTTGCAGCCACATCTTTAATATTGTACTGATCATTTAAAATTTTTGCTCTTGTCTACATTTTCTCCACACATCTCCAACACTCTGGCTAACTTAGGAAATGAGGTCCTCTGTCCAAAATTCCGGACTGTCCCTTTAATAGATTTTTTCACAGTGATGTTGCATATGCACACAGGTGGAAATGAGCACTGGTGCTACAACCTGGTACATGCATCTCTCCTGTTAACCTTCATGTTGTGCACTGTCCCTGTCTCAGTAAATAAATAAACTACATATGGAGGTGTCAGGAGTATTGTACAAACACAGTTTTTCACACATAGACTTATTAAGTTTGTCCAGAGGCAACAGAAAACTGCTCGACAAGAAAAATGGCAGAGTCAACCTGATATTTATCTTGTAAAAAAAAATAAGGCATGGTCATCTGCGAGTTGTGTAATTCTAATTTCAAACATTGATACCAAAAATAATTTGACTATTTTTGACATGCAATGAGAGTACAACCAACAAAAAGAGAAATGGGGCGATTAGGCAACGTTTATGAACAGAGCAATGTACGGGAAAGCTGGAGTTGTATGTGGATATTACATAACAGAGCTTTGAGTACTTTTGTATAACATTTTTATATTTGATATGAAATTAGGTCTAAATCCAAACATTTTAAGTATATTGAAGAGAAATTAGTGTTCAACAGTGTCAAATGCCAGAAAAATGATAAGAGCCTCACAGTCTATTAAGGGTCAGACCGTATGAAATCAGCCGCCCTCCCCTATGAGCCATCTCAGATTTGGCTGAAAAAATCTAAATTTCTAATTCTAAAATCACCAAATGAAAGAATCACAAATTTTAGCTCAATCCCTTGAGTCGTTCCTGAGTTATGGCCAGTTGAAATTTTGGGGCCATGTTCACTTTTTCGGAAGCCTTAATTTATAAACATGTTTGAGAGACCAGAACTTCATCAAAAATAGAGCTAGGAAGCTGAACATTTGTATTATTGTAGATTCTGGGTCATAAATTCTGAATTTGTTTTCAAATATTGAGTATCTTTATTAGGGGGACTCACACTCATTTATTTATTTTTTCAATTTTTGAGGTTCAAGATCTATTTACTCCAAGGGCTTTTCATTTCTGTGGATGGTGTGTAGAGTCTCAAATATGATCACAGACCAAATGTCATCTTTTTGGCCCCTTCTTTGGACCCTCGGTTCCCCATGTGGCACAGTTAGATGTTGATCAAATTTTTACCAGAGAAACTTTGGCATATTCTGATTAATTAAAGTAATAAAAACATCTACTATTAACCTTCTTCATTTTAGACAGAAAAATAAGCTGAAAATGAGCTCTCATGGGTCATTTTTGGTGGAGTTTAGGGACTTTTCCACTTGATAGAACGGTTCAGTTACCTTTAAAAGCCTTAAAGACTATTTGCTTGTTATAAAGGGAGACAGTTGGAGATTATTTGTGGTACATTGCTTGGAAAAGTGTCATTAACCCTTAATTCAGAACAATCAGATCCAATACTGATCTCATATTTGAGCGAATGTGTCGGTTGGACATAAATCCTGTTTTAGTTTGTTGAATGATTTCGTGTATATCCCATTTTTGCAAAAATTTGGGCTAGAATTTTATAATCTATGTTTAATAATGCTGCCTGTGACCATGAGAAGGATGCATCTGATTTCTCTTTCCTCACTTCCTTTTCCACCCACTTATCCAGTAAAAAAGCCATTTCAATAACCAACCTATACAAAGACAAAATACATACAGTCTCCCCCAAACACTTGCTGATGCCTATTTCATTTAGTTTCCTTTATTAGGTTTGATCTACCATAATTTATTTTATTTTATGTTTCCATTCTATTTGTTCCACTGTTATGAATGATGGTGAGAGTTCTAACGGGTTAGGGTCTGGTTAGGGTAGGGGTTAGGATTTAGTTTAGGGGTTAAGATAGAGTTAGAGTTTAGTTATGGGTTAGGGTTATATTTTATTTTTAGTTTGCTTTGGAGGTGCATGAGTCACAATGGACTTTGCATAGCTGATAATTCAGTCAATGATTAATAAAGGTTGTATATCCAGGCTGGACTTGGCATCAGTATATGCCCAATTCATGCACTAATTCAACATATTATCTTACTGGTGAGTTTCGGATGACATCATAAAATTCTATCCATGGGTTTGAGAGATGAAAAGACGAAAGGCCGCTCCCGAAGAAATGAACAGTTTAGAATGAAATATTTGATCTTCTGAACGGTCAGCGGTCCTCAAAATATGGAGCTGAAACTAAGGAGTTGGACCTGGCTGGTTCTGCTTCTCTCAAAAATTGCAAAGCTTCACTTCCTGCTCCATTCATTTTGTGTTGGAAATTACCCGAGTCATGCTAAAATGAATCTATATTTAAATATTAGACAGAGGACAGCAAGTTACGGATACATAATCACAGACGGCGTGTTAAGACCTTCACTAGACGAAGCTTCTGTGTTTAGAAAAGCAGGTCTTTGTGTCTTGAAGCTTATGTTGACTGAAATTAAAGGGACAGTTCAGAATTTTGGACATATGGCCTCATTTCCTAGTGAGTCAGAGTACTGTAGACGTGTGGAGACACTTTTTGAAATCTTCCATCCAGTCCTTGTATTTGCAGAGGTCGCTGGTGCTAGACTAGTGCATGTCAATGGTCATAGTTCTCCTGCCACTAAAAACAGTCTTACCGACTCCACAAAACACCCGAAACAAATCTATTATTACACCAGACTGTCCATGTGAATGTCTGTGTGGATAGAATCATTTTAGAAGTAAAACCAACCTTGCATCATGTGGTGGATACCTCTGCCACCACGCCATAGTGTCAGTATTATTTAATTTTCATTATTATTTACATTAAATTAATTACATTACACATAATTTAATTCATTTATTTAGACTTATGTTCTAGTTTGAGTGCACACATTTTAGTTAATATAAGTCTAATTTACTTACACTTGTTATTTTTTTTTTTTTTTTTTTTGAGCCCCGGACCCTGGGAGAGACCATCAGAACTCAGCAAAGGGGGGGAGCACTATTTAGTTTGTTTTACTAAGTTAGTTTGTGTTAAGGTCACGTTATTATCACTTATTATTTTCTGTGTTATAATTATTTGCTTTTTTGTACTTTGATTAAGTTATTGGTTTAGTTAGTTAATTAGTGTAATTCCTCCCTCTTGTGTTTAGCTTTAGTTGGTCCTTAGGTATTTAAACACTCCTGTTCCTTTGTCTGGTGTGGTTAGTTTTGTTCTGTTGAGTTTGATTTTGAGTTACCCCAGTTGGGCCCAGCTTTTTTTGTTAATAATTTGCCTAATTTGAGCCTTTGTTAAATTATATCTTGGTAACACTTTATAATAACTACACCTTATTTAGCCTTAATAAAGCATGAACATAGACTTAATTAATAATGATTCATGCTTAGTAAATACTTAATTACTACCTGAATTAGCACTTAACTTGCACTTAATTCACCTGTGCTGTAAATAGTAACTCAATACTTCTTAATTACTCATGAACTAACCATTTGCATGTTTACAAATGCATATTTAAGTACACATTTGAGCATTTATTAATGATTAGTAAGCAATGAGAGAATGGTTTACTAATAATGCAATGCAATGATAATTCAGGCAGCTATTATCTGTTAGTTCAGTCTTTCTGAGAGCTTTTCTAAAGTGAAGGCTAATTATGTTTTATTAAGCATTTGTTAAGGTTGGTCAAATTCCAGAGAAACAATAATGCATTACTAGTAAATCATTCTCTCATGGCTTACTAATCATTAATAAATGCTCAAATTTGTACTTAAATATACATTTACAAATGCACACACAAGTGGTTAGTTCATAAGTAATTAAGTAAGAAATACTTATGAGTTACTATTTACAGCACAGGCGAATTAAGTGCAAGTTAAGTGCTAATTCAGGTAGTAATTAAGTAGTTACTAAGCATGAATCATTATTAATTAAGTCTTTGTTCATGCTTTATTAAGGCTAAATAAGGTGTAGTTATTATAAAGTCCTCTACTTCATTGTGATAATGTGAACGTGGCCATATCTGGAACAGGCTTCTTCATGTGCTCTATGTGTCGCTATGGCAACTGCAGGTAAACAAACTATTACAGAGCCTTTAAGACAGGTGCCAGGTGATATCAGTCCGCTGCTGTCGAGCTTTCTATCTGGAAATACAACTCACTGCTGCTGCTCAGACATAAATCCTTCAAATGCAAGGTTGGCAGAAATGTGGCATATTAAAAAATAACTAAATAAATAAAACAACAACAACGTAGTTTAAATGTTATTGCTAAATGTCTGCAACAAATAAAATCATCAAAGTCTACACACATCAAAAATAAAAACAGACCTCTCCATTTCACTGAGACACATCACAATAATAATAATAATAATAATAATAATAACAATAATAATAATAATGAAACAATCAAAGGAACCAATTTTATTTTTATGTTGTTTATTATTTGTATCTTGTTTTCATCATGTATATGTTAATGATTTTATATTATTGCATTTATTTTATGGTTAAAAGCTCTGAAAAATAAAATTTGCATAATCGATTTGCTTTAAAAAGAAAAGTTGTTGAAACAATAATAGTACCATGTGTACCATTAGTAAAACCTGTTGTGACCTGTATCTTGGCCTGGTGCATCACATTTGTTTCCATGAAGACAGACATGAACTTTCCAAAGTGACAATTTGACTTTGGGGACAGCCGGCTGAAGAAAGAAAAGAAAAAAGGTACATAGTGCGCCACAAGTCGATTTGACAGGTTTTCATGTTTTTCTAAATCGGACTTGGTTTGGTGGCTAGTGTCTTATATAATTTGGACATTTTTAATCACAATATTAATCTAAAATCCTATCCTATGGATTTCTGCAGATCACACTACCGAGTATAGAGGACCAAAATGAAATGTCTGAAATGTCTGAAAAATCGCTTTTGCTGAATAGATCCACTTTAAGATTATATTTGGAGCCATTAAGTTTATGGAGCCAGTCCCCAAAAATTAATCATAACGTCATCAATTTGTGGATCATAAACAGTGAATGTCCCTTGCAGTTGTATAGTGACTTGCTCTTCATATAGTATCTAAACTCTATGAGCATATAGTGGCTCTTCCTTTGGGGTCTCCTGATAACATCCTATAGGCCAGATGAAGCGGCTCCCTGGTGTCTATTTTAAACATATGGATGTGGTGCCTGCCGCTGGTCTCGCTCAGGTAGTAGAAGTCCAGCTGTCCTCTGTCACAGTCCAGCTTTAGCTCCACTCTTCTGGACACCAGGGGGGTTTTCTGTAGCTGTGTGGTTCTGCTCTGGTGAAACGCGCTCAGGAGGCTCTGGTTCCACATGAGGCCCCAGGAGGACGGGCTCATCTCCAGGGCTGACGGGAGGCCAGAGCGTGGCAACGACGATGCAACACAAATGCCCAACAGCCAGGGGGCGCAATCCAGCTGCACCTCCCACCTGTGTACACCAGCGCTGAAGCTCTGAGCACTCAACGCCTGAGAAGACAAACGCAGTAAAGGTTATGCACATTTCATCACCACATTCCCATTTTTTAGAAAGAGTGGCAACATTATATGAGTTTGTATTAATGGCAGGAGTGACATTTTCTCCTGTAAAAGCTCCAAACACTAAATCTGAAATGTGAAAAAACTGCTATAGTAATAATAAATATAAAAGTCTACAACTCTACTAAATATGTATTTTGTACAGGACATCTTACTAAGCCCCACAGGGGCTGTGGCTGAGGGTTTAAATAAAAAGAATCCTGAGAAATTATCACACGATCCCAAGAAACTATCAGGTGATCCTGTGAAAGGTATCTCATGATCCTGTGAAACTTTCTTGCATTAAATGAGTGATGAGGTAGACAGGGAAGCAGAAAGCATCATAACAGTGCCTCGGCCGCGTTCCTGACACTACAGGCAGCGGGTCTCTGGGCGCATAATTCAGTTGATTCACTGCCCAACCAGCGTTCCTTGTTCTGTCACAGACTGCCTTTCTGTCCCAGTATGGGCTCCAGGGCTGACTGTGGGTCAGTCAGCTCTGTTTGTTGTAGGAGGAGCTGCTCTCTATGTAGTCGCCTCTAGTGCTGTTAGAGCGCACAGAATTTTACACAAGCTGCTCTGTTGGCACGAGAGGCAGGGGCCGGGGGCGACCGAGAGGATGAAGCTGCATGACATCCTCTCGTATTGCCCATGCGCTTGTCATTGCCCATGCGCTTGTCCGAGAGAATGCAATAGGCCCTACGCCCTGTTGGGGCTCGGGCCTAATAATATTCTGATACAAGAACAATGTTCCACTTTTTTAGCCAACAAACTACACATTTTCACAAACCTCTGGCACATGGCAATATCAAGGCGAGGGTCCCTGGTCACTACGGGCGAGTCACGTCACGCCATTTCATTTTTTGGCCACTAGGAGCATCGCTTTGCGATACTAATAGGCCCTTCACCAGCCTCTGGCGCTCGGGCCTAATTATCCACCCACATTCACATTCATAATCCACATTCAACAAGTCAGGGAGGCAACGCCGGGCGAATTACACCACAATCTGCCAATGGATGGTGGACGCCTGCGCTAAGGATCAGTCTTAAGTGTCGTCCGTTTGTTTTGCTCAGTGCGCCTTATAATATGGTGCACTTCATGTATGAAAATTTGAGAATTCAACATTATTGATATTGATCCTTATAATCCGATGGACCTTATAGTCCAAAAAATATGGTACTACTCCTGCTACTACTGCAACTACTACAACTACTAAAATAAAACTACTTCTATTACTACTACTACTTGTACCTGTATGAAGTTGGTGAACCTCTTCGGCGTTGGGTCGTACTGTTGTTTCTTTGCACTAAATGTCACCATCTTCAGGTCTTCTGACAGGATCAGGTTTGGGTGGAGTGTTTCCGGGTCAAAGGTCACCTCAGAGGGGTTAAACTCACTCCTCAGTGACCTCTGAACCTGCCCGAGTTTATCACGAAACTCACAGCTCAGTTGCTCCAGTTCAGGACACACTTTGGTCAGATCAAACTTTAATTCTTGGTTTTCTTCGGGTTGTTTTGTCTCTTTACATCCCTCTATTTCTGATTCTAAACTTTGAATTTTGCTCGTAAAAACATTGGCATCTTTTTCTTTTAGCAAATTATCAACTTCATGCATTGTTTTCTTAATTTTTTTGCAAACTTCTGATGCCTTTTCCACTTTGTTATGAAGCATTTCCTCTCCCGGGCTAAGTTCTTGCTCGATTAGCTCCATAATTGTCTTGCTGTAGTTTTGAGCAAAGGAAGTCAATTCTCCCACTAATTTCAGTGCATTTTCTCGTAGCTTAGCATGAGCCATCGTCACGGCTCGCTTGCACTCTTGCTCTTTCTTCAAAACCATCTCCGCGTTTTCCAATTTGTTTGTCAAATCTGAAGCTTTTGACATCAGTTTTAATTTCAATTCGGCCATTTTCTCAGCTAAAATCAGACTTTTATTTTGAAAAGCAAGATTTTCTTTGCTTTCCAAGTCTCCTTCATCATTAAATGCAATTAGATTTTGGTCAATTCTCGGCGATTCAGGTTCTTCCATTCCTATACTTTGGTGCACTGTCATTTCTTGGTTGTTTCTTAAAGAGCTATTTTGCTTTTGCATGTTTAAAACTGACACATGTGGAGTTTTATTTTGGAGTACATCATTTTCTAAGCCGACTTCAGTGACGTTTGAGGCTATTATTTTGCTCTTCAGGTAGTTGTATAGTTCTGAATCTTTTGCAGAAGGACTGTTATTTTGAAATTCCCCACTTCCTTTCCTTTCCAAACATTTCTCTTTCATCTCTCCAATGTCTGCTCTCATTATATTGTGTTGGTTTGTTTTAAAAGAGATACTTTCACTTGCACCATGCCCAGAAAGTACATAACTTTCCTTTTCTTTTGCAGCTTTTAAATCCCGGAGGCTAAATTTGACATTGTCGGATGAAATAGTGATACCAGAGCTTTCGTTTATTTCATTTCCAGCTAATATTTCTGCTCCTTTTTGGCAATCTTGTTCCAAAAGGGGAGTTTTATTTTGAAATCTGCTAATTCCTTTGACATCCATGCTTTGTTCTTGCATCTTCATCTGTACAGGATTTAGAACTGGCAAAAGTGGAGTTTTATTTTGAAAACCATTAACTCCTTTCCCCTCCACCTCTTCCTGTACATCATGATTTTTAATTTTAAAGCGGGCATGTTTTGGACAGTTTCATCTATTTCTTCAGTGTTGTTTAATTTGTCAGTCATTTGGCTTGTTCCTAGCTGTCCACGACTTGAAATAGAACAATTTTCCCGATCGTTTAGTGGAGTTTTATTTTGAAATCTGTGACTTTCTCTGATAGCGATTTCTTCTCCTGCACCTTGTGCATTTTTCCCGACAGTGGGCGTGTATTTAAGAGGGAACTGGCTCATCCCTGGGTCTTCACAGTACTCTTTAAAGTAGTAGTAGTAGGAGTTGTTGTAGTAATTGGGGTGGTACTCTTGTCTGCACTGGGGGCAGCAGTGCCGGTCCAAGCCCTCGTCTATAGTTTGGAGACAAGCGAGGCAGAAGGCGTGGCCACATGGGAGGGAGACTGGGGTGGAGCTGAGGTGGAGACAGGTGGGGCAGAGGAACGGTGCAGGAGATGACATCATGGACGAACTAAGGACAAAATGAGCTTGTTATTTGGCCTCAAAAGAAACAGAAAACGCACACCAAAATTCTTGTAGAGGTGCAAACGCAAGGAGCAGCCAGACCAGGGTGAAAAAATGCATAGCACACTCGGTTGGCCAATGTCCAAAAACTTTTTTATTAACAAAATAACGTTTCGGCAAAAAAAGCCTTCATCAGATATTTTTCTTGTCTTGGACCACAGCACACTAAATGGTTGCCAGTCCAGGTGCCCATATACCCCTTCAATGAATTGGAGGCCCCAAAGTGAGGTCACCCAGTGGGTTCAGTCCATTCCACAACAAGAAACAACAGTTTAGATATTTACATAAAAACATTTTATAAAATATAGAAATAGTTCAAGCCTACCACAAAAAAACATTTTAGATCAAACTCCACATTCAGTCCGTGAGGAGCAAGAGTCACCAAGACTCTTGCTCTTCACGGACCTCACTTTGGGGCCTCCCATTCATTGAAGGGGTATATGGGCACCTGGACTGGCAACCATTTAGTGTGCTGTGGTCTAAGACAAGAAAAAATATCTGATGAAGGCTTTTTTTGCCAAAACATTTATTTGTTAATAAAAAAGCTTTTGGACATCGGCCAACCGAGTGTGCTATGCATTTTTTCACCCTGGTCTTGTTATTAGGCCTGTCACCATAATAAGTTTGACAATGTGTCTGGAATGTTTCACAGTATGACATCAAACTTTTCTGTCTTCATGGAGACCAAACCAGACCAAGTTACAGTTCAGATCTGTGGAGAGGCGACCCTGCCCACAGTCAGAATACTTGTTTTTCTAGGAGCTGTAAAACCAGCTGTAATTGAATAAATGTAAGGTAGAGCTGTTTAATGTCAGACTGTGGAACATTTCAGGCAGAGTAAGGACATCTCCATAGAAACAAGCATGTGACAAACCCCCAACCAAAACGTTCCATAGTGTACCTTTAAGTAAAGTACATGTACTAAACCTAACATTTGAACTGAAGTACAGCAGGCCTACTTCACTACTTTTACTTTGTCATGTTCCACCTCTGCTACACCAGCAAATGATTTTAGGCCTAAAGATCATGTTGTTGCTTTATATCCCAAAAAACAGGTAAGAAGGTAAAGTAAAAATGCTACTTAAATGTTATAAAACTGACTCTAACTGATGTTAGAATGCTGTTCCCTCCTCACAAACACACCTGGAGCTGTGTTTTGTTTCATTCACACATTTGAGTAACTGTTATTAGTCTGTGTAAATCTTCAAAGATCAAAATACTCAATTCCAGGGTTAGTATTATCCAAACCATTCAAGTGAAGGTGTTTGGACATTTCCTGTATGACAACATGACATCACAGAGTGAACATGTGAATGAAACAAACAAGTCCAGGTGTGTTTGAGATGAGGAAACGACATTAGAACTGAGATCAGAAATGGGCCCCATTCAAATTCTCCTGATTCACCCAAAAGTTTGTCTACTCCACAATTCGATCTATCTGAAAAGAAAACAAATATACAGACCTCAATACCAGCGCAAAAACATGTCCCCGGCTGAGCGACCCTGCGCAGTGCGCACTGTGGCTGTTGTTGATCCTGCAGCTGCACTTTGGTCGCGTGGAAGTTAAGTTTCGTTTCTGCTTGTCCCTCTGCTTTCACAGATCCATATATTTATTATTCTCTTCTTCACGCTATGCCTGTCTGATCAATCTATTTTTCAATGTTCCCAAATACGCTCTCACGTTCCTAATTGCGCGCTTTTGAGTTTAGTCACATTAATAAACAATTTAGCAAAATCGAAGTTTGCTGAAGTTTGCGCGATAATCAGCTACACAATTGTACCGGTACCAATTACAGGTCAATGTTTGATAATACGTGTATAGAATATTTCAAAGAAGTATCTCACCGTTGGTGCGTTACGACAGAAGTCTAGTTGGCTTGATGTCTTCCTGGTGGTGCGTGCGGGGCGCTATTACGCACGCAAAATCTGCGTAGCTTTGCATGTTATCGCCGCGTTTCAGGTGACATCACAACATCCTGTTAGTCACTAGAGGTTAAATACATTTTTATTTATTTTTAAACAAATTTTTGTCCGTGGAAGTTATTTTTGTTCCATAATTATTATTTCCTTAACACAGACTCAAACATTTTATTAAAGGAGAAAGGTTCAGATCAACTGTGTATGATAAGGTCTGTAGCAGTAATGTGTGTGTGTGTGTGTGTGTGTGTGTGTGTGCGCGTGTGCACAGTGGTGGACCGTCAGAGTAGTAAAGTATTGTACTTACGTAAAGTGGTAAAGTGAATTCTTTTTCATTTTACTTCACTACATTTGAGTGAAGTTATCTGGACTTTTTGCTCCACTTCGTCTTTGAAATTGGACTGAAAAGTTACAAGAATTTTTTAAGATAGTTTGAGACCTGCTGAAAAAGCTGAGAGGTTTTTTTTGATCAAGTTCATAATTTGAGCAAACAAAAACACATAAAAACAGTCAGAAAGAAACAGAACTGAACAGTTCAGTTGTTTTATTAAATCAAAGAAATCTTAATCAAATCAAAGTCACACATTTGAAGCTTTATTAGCCCTAAAAATATGTGTGAAAGAGTTTTAACTAAGTACATTTTTAAACAGTTACTTTTACTTTATAGATTTTTAATTTTTTGTGTGTGATACTTTTACTCTTTCTTGGGTATTTTTTACTTTTATTTAAGTAACACAATGTAGTACTTCTTCCACCAGTAGTTTGCCTGACCAGCCAGAACCTTCTGGATCCACTTGTTTTTGTAAAGTTTGGTTAAAGCGTGTGCTTCTGGCTGCTCAGGTAACTCTTCAGCCTTTTAGTTTGTCATAACTCACCAATAACACTCAGAGCTTAACCACTCACTAAGAAAATTCCAAAGCTTGTGGTGTTATGTGTATAACCTCGGAGAGAGTGGGATATCATCACACTGTAGAATCTGAAAGCCTCCAACTGAATAAGAAAATCTAATATCATTCAAGGAAAAGGTGATCTCTGTTTAGTGGTTTACTTCAGTAAACAGTAGATTATGGAATGGTTTTGGTCAGTCCTGGTTTAGGCCTCCTGTAGAAAAGCCAAGCAGTCAGATGTGCCCTCTTGTGTTAGATTTAGCTTTTACCTCCTTGTTGTGTTTTCCCTGGTTTAGTCCCAGTTTAGTCTGGATTTGACCCTAGTCTAGTCCTGGTTCAGTCTTGATCACTAGATTTTCCAGAGCAGACAGAAACGACTCACTTTCGGCAGATAATTTTATTAGATTTTATTTTTCAAAACACCAAATATCTAAACATGTATAAATCCTCTATGAAAATATGGAAAAGTCATAAATACAAGTGATCGAACAGCACAGGCACAGACTATTTCACATGTGCAATGGAAGAAGTCAGAGTTCAGTGGTTTGTATGTAGTGTGTAGATCTGGTTTTATCCTTGTTTAGTCCTGATTAAAAACCTGGTTCAGTCATGGTTTAGATCTGGTTTAGTCCTAGTATATCCCTTCATGTTAGCTCATGAATCACACTTTGAAAGCCAAGTATTTCTAAAGTGGTTCTTAAAGTGAAAAGAGAAAGCCAATCACAATTAAAAACATATAAAAAAAAAAACATTGAACTCAAAAAATGTATACAAAAATAATTAAATAACTAAATCAAACCCCCAATTTGAATAATAAGTATTAATTTTTTTAAAACTTTATAAAACCGATGATTCTTTCAGCAGCTTGTACACGCAAAAACAGAAATGGATTGGGCAAACACATTCAAGATCGAACTATAAAGAACTCAATATCCTGCTTAATTGTCTTTTTAAAGGTTCTATATTACACACAATTGACCCTTGTGACCTTGTGAACCTCATGTTTTTATGTTGTATCCTCAAAAACAGACCTAGAGATGTGTTTTGTTTCATTCCACCGTGATGTCATGAGCAGGGTTGGGAAGGTGACTTTTAAAATGTATTCCCCTACAAATTACAGATTACAGACCCCAAAATGTAGTTCATAACGGAGTCCATTAAATTACTTAAAGTGAGTAACGTAATCTGAATACTTTGGATTACTTGATATTGTCTTGCTTTTTTAAAACGACATGAATGTAGCAACCACATCCTGAAAATTCTTGTTTGTTCTCTTCAAACTGTCTGTTGAGCCCAAGTCTCCATGAACAGGTAATTTTTTGCTGTAGAGAAGCAAAAATGAGGAAATCTGAACATAAGATGTTTTATCAGAAAATAAAAAGCCCAGTCTGTCCTTAACCATATAAAAAATATTATTGATAGAGAAATGATTTTCATATGAAATCACTGTTGCCTTCAATTATGTCCACCCTAATGTTAGTGTCATATTGTTTATATAAAAAAAAGAAGAAATCACTTTCAATACAAACAGAAAGGCACCAGCCCAGTAAAAATCTGTAATATTTGATGTTTTTACTCAAATTGATGCAGAATCTGATTCTTAACAACGACAATTATTAACGACCTCGTCCACTGTGTGACTGACGCCACCAACATTAACAAGGCGTTTATGTGGCTCTTATTGCCGCATTTTGTTTCAGACAATAAGTGGAATTATCAAAATAAAAGAAAATGGGATATAGCAAGTTGTGTTTTGGTTCATTCAACACATTTCAGTAACTGTGCACACAGCCCTCCTCTTTTGTGTCAGCAAGTCTAATCTATGAAGCTCCACTGGGTTCATACAGCTAATGTTTTTAACCCCATTTCTACAAAACACACTCAAACATAAGGGAAGTGAACAGAACGTGGAACAAATTAAAGAGGTAAGATTTCAAATGTATGAATTGAAGTAGGCAAATATTGTATTAGAGTCTCTGAATTTGATTTGACTGTCAAACAGAGCCAATTCATTTTGCATTTCTGCCAACAGTTCACTGAGAATCTGTGTATCAATCGTTCATTCCTTTTTCAATATAAAACCAAAAATAAGAAAATGAAAAAACAACTGTTTTCTTCATTATTTGTCTCCAAAACCAAAATGAAAAAACAGATAACGATTCGTTTTTTTAGTTTTCGATTTTGTGTTTAAATGAAGAATGGAAAAAAACAGATTCCTGTTTACATGACTCCAGTGACTGCAATGTCAGAATTTTGCACTGCATACGGACTGAACCAGGACTGATCCAGGTTCGGGACCAGATCGGGACCAGAGCAGACTCCGAGCTTTGACTCTGAGCCTCCGCAGTGTCCGAGCTTAAGCTTCGACCTCCGGCCCTGCTGTGGGCTCTGAGCCTCCGGTCTGGTCCCGGCCTGGTCCCGGCCTGGTCCCAGTCTGGTCTCGGTCTCAGTCCCGGTCTGGTCCTGGTCTGGTCTCAGTCTTGGTCTGGTCCCGGTTTCAGTTCTGATCTCAGTCTCGGTCTGGTCACGGTCTGGTCACGGTCTGGTCACGGTCTGGTCATGGTCTCAATCCCGGTCTGGTCCTGGACCTGCATCAGTCCTGGTTCAGTCCGTATGCAGTGCAAAAGATCGGCATCGCAGTCATGGAAGTCACGTAAACGGGAAACGGCTGTTATCCCTTTTTCCATTCTTCATTTAAATACAAAATTGAAAACTGAAAAAACGAATCGTTATCCATTTTTTCATTTTGGTTTTGGAGACAAATAATGAAGAAAACTGTTTTCTTATTTTTGGTTTTATATAGAAAAACTAATGAACGAATGATACATGGATTTCTGTGGTCCAAAATGATTCCTCACTCACCTTATGCCTTCTGAGTATCCTAATTATTCACTGCAATAAGTTTATAAGCACTTTTCATGACTCTCAGTGACTAGAGCAGGAACGGTAACAACAACTAGCATGCAAACCACTACCCACCTCTTGATTCTTGAGACAATAAAATGCTTTATAATTAAATACAGGCAGCGTACAGCAGACTTATGTTGACCTCAGGAGCAGCATATACAATTTATCTGTAATGGGGCAAAACACATTTTGTTCAAATACATGAGAAACTCCAAGTGAACTCCAAAAACATTTACATTACGGGACTATCCCCAATTTCTATCATGCAATAAAGTAGAAATGTGTCTGTGAACCAGGAAATAACACTGGTGTGCTTTAGCATTCTAGTTTACTGCGACGGAAAAACTCCGCTCTGATCTGTGAGAGTTGTGAAAAGAGCTCATAAACTCATCGTGGTGAATAATTAGGATGCTCAGAATGCAGAAGGTAAGTGAAGAATAAAACTGCTAAAAAGTTCTGGTTTTGTGCCCTTAGTGTCAACTTTATACCCAAAACTATGGAATAATTGTTTTTTCATGAATCATTATTTAACCATAAAAATGTTTGAAATAACTCTTCTGTTCACAAATAAAAGTGAGGTAACAGCACGTTTACTTGAGTGTGGATTTTAACCACGTTCTCCTCTGGAAAGACATAAATATTTTAAACTTAGTTTATCATTTAAAAGTGCAAATTTGCATAACTGTTTCTTATTCTGACATTTTCCATGAAGTGTTCTGTGCTTGTGGTACTTTGATTGTCATAGCAGTAAAACTAGTAGTAGTATTAGTAGCAGTAGTAGTGGTAGTCGCAGTAGTTGTTGGCTGCTCTTGTGGATGACTAACTGGTATACTGAGCAGTCTTTGTTTTTATCTTAAATTTCTAACTTAATATTTGGAGATTTTGACCAACTAAGAAGTGCAGCTTGTCTACTTGAACTTCTTAGGTCCTTTTTAAAGACAATGCAGTAAAGTGTGTTTACCTTGTTGACATGTTTCTGCTGCTGCATCTTCAGAACTGTCCCCGGTGATGGTGGTGACGTGTCGTACATCAGCTGTTGTTACTTCCTAGTTCAAATGCTGGATCAAGGAAGCCATTTAAATCAGGAAACGAGGCACGGACAGAATTAACCGTGATGATGGCGTGTTCCTCCTTTCACACACCTGGGACACCCTCCTCCAGAGAACACCGGACGACGGGAGGCATGGTCAGTCTGAGCCACCTGCAGGTCCATCAGGATGACCACGCCCACAGGAAGTAACAACAGCTGATATACAACACGTCACCACCAACACCGGTGACAGTTCTGAAGATGCAGCAGCAGAAACATGTCAACAAGGTAAATACACTTTACTGCATTGTCTTTAAAAAGAACCCAAAAAGTTAAAGTACTGTATTTTCCGGGCTATTAGTCGCTCTGGATTATAAGACGCACTGTCATTAAATGGTCTATTTTCGAACTTTCTTCACAAATAAACCACACTGGACTTTAAAGGAAACACAACAGTGTGATGGGTGAGTGGTTTGGTTTGTTTGGCGCGTTCATGGCGACTCTGGGCTTTGTTCAGTTGTGGCGGGTAGGGAGGGTGCTGTCTGGGACCACTGGATTGTCGGCGTGTTCGCAGTGACTCAGTTGTTCAGTTGTGTCTAGAAGTGGCGCATTGCACTCGCTTTTTCGGTTTGTTCCTCCGTTCCGTTCCTCGTTGGCGTGGAGTGATGAGTGTGTCTGTGGGTGTGTTTCGCTGTGCGGTCGCTGTCTGCTCCGTGTGTGTTTGCATGTTCTGCGGGTGGTGCGGCTTTGTAGTTTACTGAAGTCGTGCTGGGACACCCAAGTGGACGCCGGGTCGTTTTTTGATGGGGTTGGAGGCTTAAGAGCGCGTCTAATAGCCCGGAAAATACGGTATATAAGAAGACAAAATGAACATCTGCAGCTTGTCTAGTTCAAAGAATAGACATTAAGGAAATTAAGGATTGAATTGTGAGATTTGAGCAGTTAGTTTTTCCCATATACAAGCCATGACCCTGGTTTGAGACAACTAAACCTGAAATGCTAGACACTTTTTACACCAAACATAGCAGAAGATATTTAATTTTGGCCTCATCACCGACCAAAACGACAGCGCAGAGAGAGAAAAGCTGAGAAGAGGCTTTTCTGTCGTGTCCAGAGCTCACCCGGCTTCCACTGAAGGACGCTGTGGTGTGAGGACAGCGGACACACACGGTTGTTACTGCCCTGACAAAGTATCTAATGACCTTACCTGAGCTGCAATGAGATGTTTGAGCATTTCTATTATCGTTGTATTTTATTGCTCAGTATGTTTAAGCTGCCCCCATGAACAAATGAAGTAATACTACTAGCTCTAGTAACAGTAGCAGTAGTGGCAGTAACAGTAGTGATTGTGGTGGTCTACAGAAGTGCATCCAGGTCCAGGGGTGGCAGCGGCTCTTTCCAGTAAGTGGCGCTGCTGAAGTCAGGACAGTCCAACACCTCAGCGCCGGTGCAGAGAGAGGGGAAGAAGTGCTCCACCAGCTCGCACAGGTGAGGGTACCTGAAATGACAGGGGAGACAGAGACAGGTGAAGACGGGTGCTAATGACTGGAATTAATCTGTTACATTATGTTTTGATTTTCCCTACAGTGTTATAAATCAGAAAATCTTCTCCCAGTCCATCAGAAATGTGCTAAAACATGCTTCTACTCAGTTCTCTGTCAGTAAACACATGTGGTTTGGAGCAGACGCAAAACTTTGGAAGAAGAAATATGATCTCGAATTCTGAACTCTGTTAAATGGCAGTAAAAGTCTGAATTGTTCATGGTCAGGAAATTAATACTGAAATGCATTTAAAATTTAGTTTTTCAGAAATCATAATATGAGGAGAAAAAAATGTCCTTATTATTTTTTGAAAAGGTTTCAATTATACAAAACAAGACGGATGTTTGAACCTGCTCTTCGACTTTTTCAATATGACTTTCGGCCTTCTCTAGTCTATTATTGATTGACGAGATGTCTCTTTGTAGTTCTTTGAATTGGTCCCTCCTTTTTTGTCGAAACTGCCTTAGCTTGAGTAAGATCTCGGAGTCCGCCATCTCACCAAGCAAGTGCTAGTTAGCCTGTAGTTAGCCTTGACCACGGATCCCAGAAATTGCGTCTCTTTCTCTTTAAAAAAAAAATAAAATAAAAAAAAATTAATGCTTCAGATATGTATTGTTTCTCTTCTGAATGGGCATTTCATTAAGATTTCCCAGGTTCGGTCGGAAGCCGTCCTACTGTGCTGCCAGCGTCTCAGTGTTCCAACCGGAAGTCTGGTTTGACCATCTTCTAGACCAGGTTTAGTTCTGGTCAAGTCCAGATTGATGTGGGTTTACTCCCAGTTTGACCCTATTTTTGTATGATGTAAGTGCTGTAGAGGGACTGTAGTGGGAGGAGAAATCAGAGCATCCAGAGAAGACCCATAAAGACACAGGCAGAGCATGCAAACAAGTGGAACCCAGAACCTTCTCACTGTGGGCTGTGTGGAGATGGGTCCACTGTGGCTCTGTGGACACTTACGAGGACTTGTTGGATCGGGTTTTCTCCTGGATCAGCTCTCCTCTGGGGTTCACTGTGAAGATCCTAGTCTCTGGGATGCCCACCGCTTTGTACGCAAACGCATCCTGCAGACATCAAGGTTAGGATCATTCTCTGAAAATCACTCAGTGTCAGTGTGATGTGTCCATATCTAACATGTAAACCAACCTTATTTGGTACGTGGCATTGTTTCTTACATTGCTTCTCTTTCCAGAAGCGCTGCAGAAGGACTCTCTGTGCTGGTTGTTTTGTAAAGTGTAGATGTGTGTGTGTGGTTATCTGTGTGTGTGTGTGTGTGTGTGTATGTCTTACATTGGTTCTATTTCCAAAAGCAGCGTAGAAGGGCTCTCTGTGTGGGTTGAACAGGTCTCTGATGTCACTGAGACAGGCCACTTTAAACACCTCCGGCTTCTTCTCAATCACCTCCCTAAGACACACATCATTAAACTAAAACTTCATTCACAGATAGTTCCCAGAACACTCAGCAATGGCCCCCATTCACACATGCACCAGTCCCAGAAAAATGTCAGTGTTCTGGCAAATTCTGATCTCCTGATCCCCATCCAGTTCACTTAGAAGGAGAAAACACAGTAAACACAATTTAAACACTCTATATATGCTCATAAAAAAACAATTTACTATTTTGTAGAAGATGAGAATGTTGTATTATAAATGCATTATAGTGGCATTATAGGCTTTAAGTTGCAGATGGAGGAGGCGTGCTGGTTAGTTGTAGTGCCAGGCATGGCAACATGTAAATAGTGCGAACCATGTAACCTTAACTGTTATTTAAATGCACACTTACTGGAAAAAGAGAAAAGCTGAAGAGACAGCGTGAAACTTATATCCACCTAAAAACACATCCAAGTCTCCAGTGTGAGGTGTTTACAGTGTCTCAGAGTCAAAGTGTTGTGCGTAATAATAAATCCACATGAGTCAGCCTGCTGTGTCTGTGTAAAGTTGAAGCCAAACTGAAAACATGAACCAAACTCCACCAACACCCTGCTCCTTGGTCCCGGTAAAAGCGTAAATCCCGAATTTGATATACAGAATTTGATGTATATATCCAATGTGGAGCACGTGTGTGTAAAGATGCAGCCAAACGAGACCATGTAAAGTTATCCATAATCCTCCACCTCCGTCCAGGTAATTGCATAGTAACAGAGTTAAGTCATTTATCAAACAAGAGCACGTACTCTGCAGTGATGTCTATGCATAGACAGAGGCTCATTTGTTTTGAGTTATATTTGAACAATGATCAGTTTAGCATCTGTCTTTTTATAGATGTCCAGCGGCTGATGGAGCAATTGGGTGAGTCTTGCTACACATGTGTAAAGCCCAAAGAGGCCCGGGCCCACTGTAATGTAAATGCTCCCGGGTGGGGGTGGCCCCCCAACTGTTCCATGCCAATGCGGCCCCCAAGTGAACCCTGCCACTTAAAACGAGGCTTAACATTATGTAAAAGGCTAAAGTTGTGATTTACTGCAGTACCTGTGCAGTGCCGAGACCAGGCCGCTGGGGGCCAGGAGCACAGGACCTTTTGGCAGAACAGCCCCTCGATCATTCACCCGACTCAGATACTCTTTAGTCCAAGCTGACATCCCAATGGCTCGAGCAGAACAGTACAGGAAGCGGTACCCATTTCTACACAGAGACATTGCAGCAATAATTTATGCAAATGTAACATAAACACTAAGGCTTTAGTCAACTAAAGAAATGATCAGTCCAGTAAAGATGAGCCTTGTACATAAATTAGACCCATTGTTCTAACAAAACATCAAAACTAAAACTATTGTTACCAATTCAATTGATAACAATAGGTACAAACTCACACCAAGTGGTCTAAATTCTGTGTGTTAACTGGTAAAAGACTTACTGGTGAATTCTGTGGTACAATTTGGCAATGCCGAAGTGAGTCCAGTCAGCTCCGATGGTGGTGAGGAGGTGCCCCAAAGCGTCAGACCTATATAATCATGTTACATTTTAGAATATTAACAATATAATTTAAACATATAGTTAGACCTAAGGATACTGCACAAGGCTTTGTTTGGTCTGTACATTCAGACTTTACTGTTGGGTTGAAACTAAAGTCCAGGGACCTCATTTATAAAGCCTCTGTACACACAAAATAAGACCAGGCGTTTAGGAAAAAACAACGTGAATTATCATTAGTAGCTGTAGTGTAGTATATAAAGTACTTGTTTGTATAGTAGTAGTGCAGTAGTAAAAGTACTTAGTGATGGTGCCGTCAATATCAGAAATCACCACACGATCGTCCCAACTCCAGAGGAAGATGGAGGCCTCACAGCGACACGTGCCCTGGTACTGAGTGGTCACACTGAAGACTGCAGAGTTTTCCCCCTCACACAGATTCAACTGTTCCTGAAGGAGAAAGCGATGGGGAAGGAATGAGAGAAGGAAAGGGAGAAGAGGGAGAGAGGGTGGAGGAAGGGCGAGAGAGAGAGTAATGAGGGGGAGAGAGTCATGATCACAAAAGACAAAAGAGGAGCACATTGAGTCCTGGAATACACTATATTTATGCACTATATTTAATAATAATAATAATAATAATAATAATAATTTTTCTCTTTGTTATTATAATATATTGTGATTTGTGAGGTACTGTGTCCAAGTAATTTCCCTTGTGAATCAATAAAGTTTGTCTACGTCTAAGTAAAATAAATCAGGTCTAAAACAGGATAAAACCAGACCAGGACTAAACCAGGACTAGGGACAGTCTAACACAGGACTAAAGCTGGTCTAAGCAAGGACTAAACCAAGACTAAACCAAGACTAAACCAAGTCTAAACCAGGTCTAGAGCAGATCTAAACCAGAGGGGTATATTACGAAGTGAGACAAGTGGCTAAACTGGGTTAGTCAAGCTCAAACCCTGGATTTTCTCTATCACAAAGGCGGCTACATCACTAAAGTCACAGAGCGGCATAACTAACCTGGCCCGGAGCAGGTTAAGAGTCTGAATTAAGATTTAGAGCAGATCTGTCTGCACATATTACTGATCCGTGCTGTACTTTGAGTGGGTGGGTAGTGGGTATACTGTGGGTATACCACATAAGTGGCGCTCTTATGCACAGCTCTTCAGTCCTTTACAAGATTGCTTTCTTTGGTCCTCCTGAAAAAGTCCTTCTCCAGATTCGTACGTTTTACATTCCACCTCATGCAGCACATGGATCAGGCCCTTCCTCCCCATCCTCCCAGACGCTTTGGGTGGAGATACTAAGGAGATGGAGAGAAGGGGTGACTGGAGAGGAGACTCGGGAGAGTCAGGCTAGGCCCTGTCCATATCTGATGTAACAAGAAGAATAAGCCTTGTGAAATGTGCAGAAGCAGATTAAAAGGAGCAGTGATCTGCTAGATATGGGTCAAGGGACATGTACTGTATTTGTTTGTTATTAGTAGCTTTTATACTTTAATATTTCATAATTAGCTGTTAAGCAAGCAGCCCATTCTGTGCATAAAATTGGTCACATGACGTGGCACACCTCCTCTTTTTTTGGTTAGTGTTCACAGAGACTGAAGCTCAAACTCTGGATTCAGAGATCCTGTTGCTAGTTTTGTGACATTCGTTATCTCTGAGCTGAGGTTCAGGCTTTGAGAAGCCAGCTCACTGAATTAAATCCTGACTATGTCCAACCAGCTTCATAGTATACCCCTCAGGTTTAAGCAAGGACTAAATCAGGACTAAACCCAGTCAACAGTATGTTATTACGTACGATCTGTTTGGAGGTAAGCCGCAGGGATTTGCGGTACATGTGACTAAAGCTCTGAGATGAAGCCAGGACATTGGAGGAGAGAGACGAGGGCAGAGATGCAAATCTCCCCAAACCTGCAGCTTCATCACTGTCCACGTCATCCAGAGTGGCCCTGACAATGATAGGTGAGACAGGTGACAAATGAAAGAGACAGGTGAGTAAAAGAGTGGAGTGACAAAACCTTTACATACAGTGTACATTGGGATTTCATGTGTAGCCAAAGAGAAGTATTGCACTTCTATGAGGAATTAACTGCTAACACATTACATATTTATATGACCATGTTACCATTTATTGTTTTGTTATATCCACCCAAAACAACATATGGTAAATAAGTTCCAGTTTCGTTTTTGTCACTGTTAAGTCTAACTTCTCTTTGCTCTCCACCCCAAGCCACTCCACTCAGAGTTCTGTTACAACACAGTCAGTGTGCATCTCACTAATGAAACTACTGCACATTGCATCAGGTTTGTGAAATTGTTGTTTTGTGTCATGTTTTGCATATTTATAGAGAATTGTGACGTGGGAGGTTAGGGTTAGGGTTAGGGCTATGGGTGACATAGGTTTGCAGGTTGAGCCCTGTACAGACTCATACTGTTAACCATAAAGAGGATTCGAACAGGACCCGGAAGAGATCACTAGATTACTCAAACATGCATGGATGACATCTAAAACCAATTTAGGCATGTTTTTGATGAGGGAAAATGTGATAAAATGGTAGAACGCTCCAAAAAGTCAATTTTGCATAATACCCCCTCTTTAAAGTGCATATGAAATACTCACTGCACTGTGGGAGGAAGAGAGCTCACTGGCTCATCTGGCTCATCTTCTTTAGAATTTTTCTGCAAAGAGACACAAAAACAGTTATCAGATTACTGAAATGTCATGTTAACAGTTCCATCTGGTGTGAGTAATCAGATTTATGTCTGATTCTTCACACCAGTGCAGGTTTTGACAAGGAAAATTATGCAGAGAAAAAGGACAAACTACAAAAATCCACATTACTGGAATGCTACTGGAGTCTTTGCAGTTGCAATTGTAAAGGTTTCACCCAGGTGCTTTTCTGGTTGAGGATTAGGAAAACAGAATAGTCACTCGTGGGATTTAGAAAAAACCTTTATTAAATCATGGATGATTTCTTAAAAAAACACCAATGTGTTTCAGCCTTATTTCATCAGGGCATATATATTAAAACAACAAAATGGCAACCAGTCCTCTTTTATACTGACAGGGCACATGATGTGCTCACATGACAAAACAAAGGGTGCAGAGTGCGTTTCAAGATAATTACAGTATAAAATCATATTTTGAAAAACTGTCAAATGCAAATGATAATAGTAATACAATTGTAAAAAGGAAGAGAGATAAATAAAATAAAGAGATTAAATTCATGAATCACAAAAAAGGTTAAAATGTAAAAAAGGTGTCAAATTCAGATCATCATTCAAGTCTACTGAATGAAAATATAAACTATTGAAAGAATTCTTTTAAAATTCTTTTTACTCTGTCTCTCAAATACTATAGTAACTCTAAAAATCCACTGAGTCACTGACAGGTGATTCTGATGATCAGATTTTTGATCTGTGTTTACATCACAGACTGTATCAAGTAGCTGAGTGAGTGAGTGTGGTGTCACCCACAGCGTTGAGCTCCAAATGAAGCTCATCGAGGTTAGCAGTTATAGGGGAGAATTTGGAGCCAAGTTTGATATTTGGAATTCAGATCTCAAACATAGCAACCAAAGAGGCAAACCGGCGCAAGGGTATTTAAGGCACCTCTGGCAGTTTGGCAGGGAGCAGGAGCTGTCAATCAAATATGTTGCTAATGCAAGTGGGAGCGACTTCGGGAAAGAAGGCGACTGATTGGTCTTTTATTAATGTTCATATCATGGCTTAAGAACAAAATAGTTAAATAAAATCCCTAGGATCATGTGGAGAAAGTTGAGTCTGACAGCAGCAGTTACAGAAAAAGGGACCATGTTTTTTTCAATAGAAAGTGAATAGGAGCTTCCTGTTAAAAAGTGGCAGCTAGCGGGTTAGCTATGTTCAGACATATATACAGTCAATGGTTTAGAAGCGTAAAAGAAATCAGATTTAATTATTAGGATTATTAGGTTATTTGATTACTCTAGTTTTTTTACTGACTATGTAAATGTAGACGCTGGCTGTGCTTACATGCCCACTCAAAATCTAATTATCTACTGTAAGTTCAGGGGATAAAAGCCTATTTAAATGACATGTAAAAAGCAAAAACACTTGCAGTTTGCATGCCATTTAAATCAAAGGTCCAAAAATCAGATAATAATCAGATTTTGTATATTTATTATATGTCATGTGACGATACATCTCCTGTGTCACTGGTGTGGCTCATGTCGGGAGCTTGAGCAGGTCATGTAGAGCAAGACTCAATCTGTTCATCACTACAGAAGCACAGAGAAACAGAAGATAGGTTCTTCTGTGTGGGCTCATTTTGATCAGTCCCAAGAGGAGCTCAAAGCAAATCTGCTTAAAGCACTATACGATAATTTTCACAACTATTCACCTCATCATGTATCACTACTTTATTGTACAATACGTTGTTATTTGCTGACATAAGTTTGCATCACCTTCCTAGTCATTTTTTTCATTAGTGGCTCAGCGCATCTAGCACAAATGAGTGTTCATGTGTCAGAATGAATGTGAATGTACCCTGTGTTGTGTAAACGTTTCTGCATAGGAAGGAGTTAAATTTTTTAAACCACTGGATAGAGCTATAGAATGCATCAACACCATGTCAATGTGATATCCACACTGTGTTGGAACTGTGTTACTGGTGTCATCTACCCATTACCCATCATAGTCCTTACTTGGCTTTGATCTCTCCTTCTGAACGGGAACCACCAGCGTCCAGACTTCTTGGACATTTTATCTTTGACAAGCTGCTCCACTGTACTCTGAAAACAACACAGAAACTCACAATTCATCTGAATCCTACTACAAATAAATTAAATTTTTAAGGATATAGGAATCTTTGTATGACAGTTAATGCAAAAGGAACCTATCATTGATCCCACGGCCATGTGTGAAGTGAAATCCTTCATTCACTTTCATTCATATTGTCTCATAAATCATTCCTCATTCTGTTAGCAGCTTTATCAAACATACTTTATGAATGAGAAAGGAAAGTTAATGTGACATGAACAGACAGATGAAACAGGAATTTGTATTTATTTACTTTTTTGGAGTTTAGAGTGAATTAAATTGATGCATTTTTGCATCTAAACCATTCGATTTTAGCTCTTACTATTCACTTGCATCTAGGGTAGAGGTTGTTAAAAGTACTAATTGATAGTAAAACTAGTATCAAAACTAGAATTTGAGCAGGTATCAAAACTAAAAATCACATAACTGGATAAAAGTTGATCTTTCATCTTTTAAAATTATAATTTGGGAATCGTAATCCATACTGAGTAACTCTATTCCTTAGTATCAAAATAGAGTTTGAATTTTTTGTCTCATGACACTAGTCAAGGGCTTTTTAAAAAAGAATACTTTGAACAGGTGAAATGTACCTTGGGCAGATTCTTCTGAAAAGCCGCCATCGCTAAGACCATGGGACCAGCCACAGCCCAGTTATAATAACTGAAACAGGAAACACATGCTTAGACATTTCATTTAAGCACACTTTTCTCATGACCTAGGTCTAGTCTATAAGGCCGGGCCGATATATCGGTTGGCCAATAATATCAGTTGATATGGGCACTTGGAAACATATCTGCTATCGGCCTAAATCTTGATGATATGGGCCGATATTTCATGTGGACATGTTATACCTCGTTTATAAATCTTAGACTCTCTACATTATGTTCATTTAATCCAATTTACAGACAGTTAAATGTCCTCATATGTGGCTCCGCATCAGTATTTATCTGCAGTCATTTATCTGTGTCTGTGGCCCAGAGTCATGTCACTCACGTGATCTTACACCCACAACCATAGATCTATGTGCAACACTGAGATTATATTCTATTCACGGACAATCGGTTTAAATCTGGATTAAAAGGACATTTATTAGTGCAGACTTGTGATGTGAGGAGGAGCCTGTGTGAGCGGTGAGTGTTGGAAATGAGTCGGTTTTGAAGCTAGTTTTCGTTCTTTCTCACTGGTTAGCAATTAGCTGCTGTAGCTCCCGTACATAAACATACTGTTTTCTATTGGTCTATTGTAAAGTGACTATATTGGCCGTATATGTGTTACTGGACATACATTGATATGTAAATGAGCTGTGAGTAGAGTTCTGAATGATCGGCATTTACGCATATAATTAATTACCGTGGTGTGCACGCATTTACGTTTACTGTCTTTACTACAAGCTAGAATGTGATGCAAAAATGCCACCTAGACTTAAGTCTGGGTCTAAGTCTCAGTCTAAGTCTGGCTCCAGGTCTCACTTTGAGTTGATGCAGACAACAAGGTTTGGGTCATCGATGAGTCCAGGGTTATTGCTAAAGTCTTGATACGTCACCATCCGCTCCTCAAACTTCTCTGGAAAAACACAGATCATTACTAACTTTTCACAATAGTAGCAGTAGTAGTAATAGTATTATTAGTAATAGTAGTAGTGAATTGGAGACTGCAGGGAATACCAGGTGGGGCAGTAGTGGCTCTAGTGAAAACTTTAGTTGTGTCCTTAGGCAAGACACCTGCCTAGTATGTGGTAGTTGTATTACTGGTGGTACCTTTGTCTATATCAACAATACTAGTCGTGTAAAGATGCAAAAAACCCAAGGCACTCACTGGTTAAAATAAAATGGCTTTATTAATTTACGGCATGTCTTAATGGACAACTTACAAAGTCCCGACGTGTTTGAGACTATGGCTTTCCTCAGGGAACAAACAGAATTATGAGTTGAACCATTGTACCCATTGAACCCACTGTCTCTCTTTGGTGGGGATGATATATCGATGACATATGTCTGTTTTGGTCTGGATCAGAGACAGAGTTACAAGAATTTCATTGTTTTTTAAAAAACATTAATCCTAATATAAGACTGTCTTTGGAGTATAGCCAAAGTAAACTTCTTGGATACTACAATTTATAAAGAGAATATAGGAAACATACTACTTTGTTTCGAAAACCTACAGACAGAAATACCGTTTTACACGGTAAAAGCTGCCATCCAAAGTGGCATAAAGAAAATATCCCGTATGGACAAATACAACGTGTGTGGAGAGTTTGTGACCAAGACTGCCGTTTTGAAATCAAATCTTGTGAAATGTTGTACAGATTCCAAGATGGGGGATATAAGAAAGAGACCCTCCTAAAAGCTTACCATCGGGCAAGCCATCTAGACAGAAAAGCTCTCCTTATTAAAAGTCCACCAAAGACTACCAACGAACGTGTCATTTTTAGCACCAAATTCAGCCACGAGCCTTAGAAAATAAAGCAAATTATGAAGTAACAACTGGGACACAATTGAGAGTGACGAGACACTTAAAGAAATCATCCCAGAGCCTTCTTTGGTTAGTTTTAAAAGGTGCCCTACTCTCTATGACAAACTGGTCCTGACTACCAGTCCTCAGCACCCAAACACACGTGGCTTGGACCTCAACCAACGCATTCTTATGAGTGTAACAGCTGTCCCCACTGCACCAATATATGTCAAACCACGTCATGTCTGGACTTTCACAAAAATAATATATAATAAAACACTTTATCAGTTGCAAAACAACATTTTAATTTACAGACTTGTTTGCCCTACCTGCAAGGTTTTCTAAATTCTTTTTTATTCAGTTTTTATAACTGAGTTGTATTTTTTTGTATATATATTTTTGTATATATTTTTGTACATAATGAGTGTTTATATACCCTATGATGTCCCATGGTTCTAACAGTGTCATCATGTGGTGTGTCTCAGGTAGTGTCGACAGGTGAACATTCTCCTCTTCCAGGTGGAGCCGCCCTGTTGGTGGGTTTCCTTGTATTTAACTCACGTGGTTCACTCATAATTCTGTTTGTCTCCTGAGGAAAGCCATAGGTCAAATCACGTTGGGACTTTGTAAGTTGTCCATTAAGACATGCTGTAAATTAATAAAGGAATTTTATTTTAACCACTGAGTGCCTTGGGTTTTTTGCATCTTAAAATTGACTTCCCTCCCCCAAAGAGCACCACTGTGTTCTATCTACTGTGTGTTGTCCTCTGGAGGTCCAGGAAGCGCTCCTTTTGGATTTTTTTTATAATACTAGCTGCGTACCTTTGCTGATGGCGCTGCTGTCCCCTGGCCCGCACAGAGACAGACTCACATCGGCAGAAAACAACGCAGAGTCAGAGAGATAATCTGTACCACTGTCCAACGCCCCACTGCCCACAGACTGAGGAGAGAGAGACCTGGACAGTGAGTGTGCCCCCGCAGGCTGGGAGGCCTCCTTTCCCCTGTGGAGAGAAGAAATGCATTTTATGCTATTAGCTTGTTAAACTCTTGGTCTAAAAGAAATCTAATGACAAATTATTGGAAGACCAAATGAACCTCATGGGACTATAGTCTTTTGTGTTTTTTTATAGACAAATCTTGTACCTGTAGTTTCGACCTTTACAAACACGGTCAGAAATGTCCCTGTGCCAGATGCCCTACCTCCCTGTGTTTGCAATGCCCTCCCTCTGTGCCAGATGCCCTCCCTGTGAGTCAGATGTCACCCCTATGTCTCCATGGGGTATTATTCAATGTAAAACATGCAAACATATCCTGAAATGCATAAGCTTCTTGTATTTGTTTAAAGTTCAGATTTCAGTCTCTCTCAAAAAGATCAAATCAAAAAGATCAAATCAAAAAGATTATGGTTTGTTTTGTATCAATTATTAATAATGTATTACATATAAAAAATGTATTACATATTCTAGCTCATCCCAAGCTTGCCTTTCAGTGTTTGTACAAACGTGACTCACGTTTTGGGGAAGTAGAGGAGAGCCACTTCTGGGTCCATGGACGTCAGATCGTCCAAATAAATGCCAGATGTTCCAAGATGGTGACTACGCTTCTCTGCAACAAAAGTTATACAGAAACAATAAGGAAAATGTATTAAATTGTAATTAACCTTAAAAATATTTGATGATGATCGGTGATATCAGTCCACCACTGCTGAGCTTTCTGTCTGGAAGAACAACTCACTGCTGCTGCTCACACAGAGATCCTTCAAATACAAGGTTGGTTTTACTTCTAAAATGATTCTACCGGCACAGACATTTACATTGACAGTCTGGTGTAATAATTGTTTTGCTTCGGGTGCTTTGTGGAGTGGGTAAGACTGTTTTTAGTGGCAGGAGAACTATGACCATGGACATGCACTAGCCTAACACCAGCGACCTCTGCAAATACAAGGACTGGATGGAATATTTCAAAAAGTGTCTCCACACATCTCCAACACTCTGGATCACTAGGAGGGTGGGATTAAATAGGTTTTCTTCTTCCCACTCCTTTATATTTATTTATTGTTGTTGTTATTTCTGCTATGATTTCATTAATGTTATGTGTTCCATTGTAAAAGAATGTACTTTTCTTACTTGCCCAAAATAAATACATGAATCAAATCAACTAGGAAATGTCCAAATGTCAAAAATTCTGGGCTGTCCCTTTAAATTAGTTGGTGGGGTCTAAGAGTTCATAGCTAGTTATAAGTTCTTTTAGAATGATAGCCTTCTTTCTGTCCATAAAGGTGAGAGAGACAAAAAAAAATGCAGCTCTTTTTTTTCTGATATAAGGCCAAAAATGTTGATTAAAAAGGCCTTGGGCTTTGTCAGGACAAAGAGAATATTCACTCCTTTATCTAATTCATCTAATCCCTTAAAATTTTCATTAATTTGAGAAAAAATAAAATTGTATATTGAAAAAAGAGTCTGTGTCTGATTTAGAGAAAGAGGAGGAATACAGATTGCTCTAAAAATGTGAAATTTCATTGGATAGGTTTGTTTAGGATCCGTAGATAAAGTACCATTGATAACTATTAATTAGATTTTTTTTTTCTTGTCTGTGTTTTTCAAGATGCAGATTTGTTGGTTCCATGACATAAAAATACTTTATCACCCCACTGACTCCCATTCATCCACAACTGTACATCTTCTTCAGTGGAATGGGTTTCTTGTTTGCTTTAGTGTTTTTGACATTGACTCGCTGATCCACCAGGATCTACAGTACAGACATCGGAATGTCATTTGGGCTTGAGAAATGTAGCAGGATGGTGACAAAGAGAGGGAAGGTAGTCCACACAGAGAGGGTCTCACTCCCAGAAGGAAAAATAGCAGACGTTGAGGACAGTTACAAGTACTTTGGTATCCCACAAGCAAATGGCTCCTCGAAGAGGCAACAAGGAAAGCGACTAAGAAGTCAGTTCAATGGCAAGAACAAGGCACAGGCAATCAACAGCTATGCCCTGCCAGTGATCAGATCCCAGCCGGAATCATGCACTGGCCAAAGGAGGAGATACAGACCACAGATGTTAAGACATGAAAGCTCCTGACCATGCATGGAGGGTTCCATCCCAAATCCAGCTCCCTGAGACTGTACGCAGGCCGGAAGGAAGGAGGCCGAGGACTAGTGAGTGTGGGAACCACTGTCCAAGATGAAACATCCAAGCTCCATGAGAACATCAAGGACAAGGCCCCGACAGATGAGGTGCTCAGAGAATGTCTCAGACAATGGGGTCCAGAGGAAGGACAAGGACATCATGGCAGGACAAGCCCCTACACGAACCACCGGAACAGAACAGAAGTGGCTGACATTAAAAAATCCTACCAATGGCTTGAGAGGGCTGGTCTGAAGAACAAATGGAGACACACAGAGGCACTGATCATGGCTGCTCAGGAGCAGGCCCTGGGCACTCAAGCAGGGAAAGCATACATGGAGCGACAGAACCATGAAGCAACATGGAGCAGGCATAGTGTACAGAAACATAGTACGGGCTGGAGACCCCAATTTCAAGGTGGGAAACACCTCCAAAGTTTGTGGAGAATGATCAAGATCTGGGACTTCCAGATACAGCCAAATACTTCCAGATACATACTGACAGGATGGTGATGGCGACAACCAGACATAGTGGAGGTGGATAAGAAACAGAGCAGAGCCGTGGTGGTGGACATCTCAATACCAAGCGATGGTAATATCAGGAAAAAGGAACACGAGAAACTAGAGAAATACTAGAGCTGAAGAAGGCCTGGAAAATGAAGACATCAGTGGCGCCCGTGGTGGAGCACTCGAAGCTGTAACCCCCAGACTGGAAGAGGCTACAGCAAGTTCCAGGAAAAACATCAGACATCTCAGTCCAAAAAAGTGCAATACTAGGAACAACAAAGATACTGCGCAGAACTCTCAACCCATAGAGGACCCAAGCTTGATGGGGTTGTAAATTAAATACATTTACAAAAAAAAATATTTTTAATTACATTGTACTCACCCTTCTTGTCCTGGTCCTGTATCTCTGAATTGGTGGCACTGCTGTTTGCCGGTGTTGAGTTGCATATCTCCTCTCCCTCATAGTTAAAACTAGTCTCTACAGATTCAAAGTTATCGGCCAATATTTTCTCTTTCAAACACTCTCCATCCTCTCCTCCATTCACTCGCGCACTCATCTGTCCATTCTCCTCTTCGAGTTGATATATTGCTTCTTCTTTATTTGCATCATTTTGAATCTGCACTTTTTCTGACTTGCTAGAAATGTGCATTATGCCATCTTTGTCTGTTTTATCACCATTTGGAAGATTAAAATTTGAAGATCTAGATTTAAAAGTTGAAACTGAGGCCTTGTTTTGCAGTCCGCTGCCTGGTTTTAAAAGAGGAGGCTGAGGGAAGTAGTTGTTTAAATCCAGGGATCTTGTTCTGGCTTTGGGTCTGACCACTGTCACTCTGGTGGGGGAGACGGACAGGAGTGTTGGGGGTGTGATTCCCAGGTCAAAAGAGTCTTGCCTCTCAATAGTTCTGAAGTGGGAGGGGGAGGAGACTGAGACAGAAACATGAACAGGGGAGCGCTGCGACTGGCACGGCTGTGAACAGAGAAGGAAAATATAGGATTATCTATCTATACATTTAATTTGGGCAATTTAGTCAGAAAAACTCTAAGAAAACAATCATATAGCTTACGCCTGCCGCACACTACAGGATTTTTCAGTCTTAAATGATTTTTAAACATGCGTCAAAAGCACACACAACAGACACAAGGAGAACTTTATGAGATTTTAAATCTCAGTTTAAAGACTACCACAGGATATGGCTGCAGACCACAGGCCTAAAAGTTGTGAGTGCACTTCACGTCAGCTCTTTTCTGTCTAGAGTAAAATGACTCACTTTGAGACTCATAAGTTTTCTAAAGATCAGATCACTGCACTTCTGGTTTAGTTTAGTTCACCTCATTATTTATGCTATTTACTAAGTTTTTATCTTGCTCGTCTGTGTCCGTCATTCCCTCTGCTCCTGGTGCTCTGGTGTTTTGGCTGGTGCAGTGTTGGTGATGTTTTGTTATAATCTGATGCCGGAGCGCAAAGATAATCCGCAATCTCAGAAACTCTGATAAAGTTTGTTCATTGCAACCCACGCATGACCCGTGCAGTTTTCTGAGAATTTTCAGCCGCAATCACTGCCAGTGTGGGATTTGAAGGTGCATGCCAGGATTGTGTGACGACAACTGCAGAAGCTCTATAGAGCTATTACTACTCATTTAGATTTTTGTTTAAATTGCTCCAATGAGGTGCTACTAGATAAGAAAACAGCAGGGAAAGCAGTGGCCTTTATAAATTAATACAAAACCAATTTTGAAATAAAAATATTAACTGGTATTAAGTAAAAAGTTGGGAAAAACAGAAATTGTTCATTTTATTAGTTTATTTATGGTCCTAACTTATTCCTCACTTAACCACTCTCACTTTCACTTTCTACCACCCTAATTATCTTTTAAATTTTTTTTTACTTTCACTTTATTACATGAAATAGAACTCAATAGGAGTGTTCTATCAGTTTGGCAGCTTTGGTGGTAAATCTCCAGTGAGTGAGGAATGAAATAATAATATATAACAGTAAAGATTTAATCATGGGTTTCAGAATGATGACAATCTAGCACCATTGCCATAGCAACTGACAATCAAAAACTAAATATTATATCTTTTGAATGAGTGAAGAATCCCTAAATCGTCCAGGTAGAATCCATGGGGAGGAGAAAATTCAGTTTGTCGACTGGGCAAAAGTTAGTTTGGTTGAAGACGTTTCTCAGCTCATCCAAGCTGCTTCTTCAGTTCTGGTCAGACGCTGGTGGACACTTCCTTATATCTGTCTGCAGGGAGGAGCGAACTAACTGAAACTAACACTTCTTTTGAAGGAGCAAAAGTCCTTAAAATATCACCTAACAACAGGAAGCTTAAACCCATGAAAGTCCTTTAGTGACTGACCGTAGGAAAGCCTCCCCAGTTCCATTGAATCTCAGGTCCTGAAGATCCACGAGGTCGAACACACAGCTCTGAGTCGCTCTTAGGAGATGAGGGACGACTCAGGAACACACTGAAGACAAATACACATCAAATAGATTTATACATGATTATAAGCACAATGTAATACAGACTGTTGTGATCATGATGATAACATTTAAAACTTGATCTTGATACTAATGAATACACTTGATACGCAGTACAGGTTCTGATCCCACAATGAGAATAATAATTTAAAAAAAAACATATTTAGACAATAAAATCCCTCAGTGGTCCAGTAGAGTCATAGTGTCCATGGGCCTATACTAGTCTATATGCTCTTACACTTGTTCTGATACCTGCTGAAATGAGTATCTAGTTTCGATACTAGTTTTAGTATCAATTACTATCAGATTTTTCAATATTTCTGAAAACCCTAATATAGACGAGGGTTACAACCACACTAGGAACACACTAATGTGAGTGTCCCATTAGTCACAAAACAAGCAAGAAAGAAAATGGAGTTTGAAATCAACTTTGCATAAGATGATATTTAAATGTATTACTTTACCTTAGTATATGTTTGCAGGCATTATGTATTGTATGACACATGATGTAGAAGGCCATTACACTGCAAACTTTGGGAATATCTGCATTTAAGTTCGAGCTGGGAACTAGATGGTGCTGCTGAGCACAGAGGTGGTTCTTACTTTTCGTTGGGTGACTGCTCTGAGTCAGAGTAAGCATGGGCGTCTCTCAGCTGCTCCAGGTCCTCACACATAGAGAAGTAGATGGATTTACTACAACAAAAAAGACACATTTAGACAACTGTGCTGAGAAAGAAGCCACAGCAGCACTTCTCACAAACGCCCCTATGTTTCACTATCTGTCTACAGTGGGATTAGCACACACTCGTATTGGACTACAACAGAAAGATTTGTGATTCTACTGTCAGTTATTGGTAAAATTTTCCTAGATATCGCATCAGTCCAATATAGTAGACATTTTGTTTCTGCTTGACCCTAGTTTGTGTGCCCATGTGTCATTCCCAGTTTGTCCTCAGTGCGTCTTTTTGAACAGACTAAAAAAGTAGAAATATGAATTTATATCCCAGATAAATACAGTTTGTATCAGTATCTGCAAATATCAGTTATCAGCATAGACTGTTTAAAGAAGTGGGCTAAGTCAGTGTGATGAGAGGCTCCAGTCAAATGAAGGCCAGCAGTTATCGGGAGAACTTGGAGTTGGGAATATTTAGCTAAATTTTTGCTAATCAGACACAGACAGACAACAATGTTTTGAAATGTGCATTCTCAGTATATAAGAATAAGTAGAAACCACCTGGTCTGTAGCAGGGGGCCTGTCTCGGGCTGCTGTGGGCTCTCACTCTCCTCTTTCTCCTCTGATGAACTCTCATTTCTCACGGGACAATCAGTCCGGACACGTTTCTTCCTGCGTTTCTTCCTGCGTCCTGCGCTCGCTGTGGTTCCCTCTGGTTCTGCTAGTTCCATTGGGTCCTGCTGCTCCTCAGTCTCACAGGGGATGGGGGAGGTGCACAGGTGGGCTGGGACTTTAGACTGGGGAAAAGATGTTTGTGTAATCTCTCCGTCATCCAGGTAGGTTCCATCGCAAAAGAAAATCTGATCATAATCTGTGTTCTCACCTCCAGGTCCTCATTTTCCTCCACAAAGAAAGCCTCTCCGTTGTCTCCCAGCTTCATGTGCAGATCCACCGCCTCCCCGTTTATCTCTATGTCCACCTTAAAACACAACACAAACTGAAACTCTAAATGGCCACCTTAAAGCACATAGGGAGAAAGGATTTTGAGGCTAGGAGCACTCTAGTCCCTAAACCCTTATTCACTCCACAGCCCTGCACTGTTTAGTGAACTCTATAGTGTCTCATTCACAGAGCCATTTAGACTCACCTCACTACTTTCACCTCACATGTTTCTGGCATTAAAAAAACACACTGAAAATGGCTGAAATGCATGTTGCTGTACAGTGAGTTCTAGTCTAGTCACTAATACAGTAGATCTGAGAGTGTGACATCCTCACGTTCTACAATTTGAAAAGATTCCTCACCACTTTCTCCTTGGACCGCAGCACTCCCAGTTTTCCAAAGCGAACGTGAAACGGCGAGCACTGGAGCGAGCCATCGGGTTGTCGCACCACAATCACATCTATGGCCCCGGTGAGAGTGGCCGGGTTCAGACCGCGGTACATCTCCTTCATTGTACCAAAGACAGAGGCTACGAGGTTCATGGTTTGAGCCTGGAACACAGAAAGTTATTTATTTATTTATTTGTTTTAGTTCATTGTTTTAAGTAGTTACTTATATTTAATTTCAGTTAGTTTATACCCTGATTAACAAAAGGTTAAAAATAATAATAATAATAATAATAAATAAATAAAAGATTTAATACCAGATACTTGTGTGAGAGATACATTCTTTTTAATCTAATAAAAATATTTATTTATACAAAACAAAAACTCTCACACTGACACTCAAAAGGTTAAAACAAGACAACAACAAAAAAGTCCCTGAACAAAATGAATAGGCCAATTTTTTCCTCTGTCTTGTGTCTGCTCCAAACGCTTGATTTTAAATGACAGAGGATTGGCTGTAGACCTCTTCATTAAAGAAACCCAAGATGATCACGCTAATACTATATTAAAATTCAAAAGAATTCAACTTTTACACACATTTCATAACAAGACAAGCCTCTAAAAACATGCCCTAACAACCCACGTTCAGCTGATCAATGAACTGATCAGTGGTTATATAATTAGAACAGTTGTCATGGTGATTAACAATTTAAAGTGCATATTATATGGACTAATCATTTCATTAACATTGTTTACATAATGTTTTTTGTGTGTGATTTATTTCCTGGGTGGACATGGGCAGTAGATACTGATTCCATAACTTACTGTAGCCAACATAATGTAAGCGAGAGCAAAAACTAGTCACTAGTCACAATAACAAATTTCAAAGTATAATATTAATTCTGGAAATTTCACAATAAATAATAATATTGAAATAAACTCATACAACTTTCATAATAACCTTACAAGATAATCACACTAAACCCTTGAATCATAGAAAAATGAAGCACTAAAACACACAATCCTTTTTGAACAGGTAAAAAGTCCACCTATAACTGTAAGCTGATGTAAGAAGGATTTTTAAAAGTATTGCAGATCAGATACTAACTGATACTTAAACTAGAATCAAAACTAGATTCTAATTTGAGCAGATATCGGTACTAAAAGTCACATTGACAGGAGAGAAATTAACCTTTCCTGAACAACTTTAGAATGATCTTGAGCTGTATCAGAACAACTATAAGAGCACATCGACTATACGCCTATGGACCACTATGAACCTACCTGAACACTGATATAAGGCCACATGGGAATGTAAATTTATAACTGAATGTACTACAATTTAATGTTGAAAATCACATTCTATTGTCTAAAGAAGATTTGTTTATTATTATTATTATTATTATTGTTGTTGTTATTATTATTATTGTTATTATTATTATTGTCTAATGGAATCTGTATTGATTATCAAGTTTATTCCTTAGTATCGAAATCGACTTAGAAATTTTAGTATCAACACTAGTACTTTTTCATCAGTTTCTCTTACCCATAGTGAAGGATTGAGTCTTGTATTATTAACCAGGCTTAGCTCCACTCTGGTCCTGTCTCTGCTCCTGTTGGCTCCTTTGCTCCTGTCAGCCATAAAAGTCCCCCGAAACCTAATCTCTCATCTAATCCTCATCCACCATTCTTAGATAATCAAAATAAAGTTTAAACTAAAGCCACACGACTCTAAACACACAGCACAATACAGTGGAACATTTTTTTTAAATGCAGTTTCTGTTCCTTTATTTCACAGCGTGACACATGACTCGACCAGCACATTCTCAAAGCTCCATTCAAAACAGAGAAAGCAGAGGTCCTATACTGCACACTCTGCCCTCCACTGATGCTTTTGGGTATTTAAAGGTGAATGGGGGCATGAGGTGAGGTTTAAAGTGCATCTGACAGCTTCTGATGATTCTCACTCACATTTTGCCTTAAATTGGTGGCATAGTACTTGGTGTAATTTTAAATTATAGTTTTGCACAAATCAAGAAGCAATATGCAAAGAAACGTTGAAAAATGTATTTAAAATTGCAGAAGACAAGTAGCAAGTTTTGTTTCAGAGAGTTCCATATTGATGACATCACACTAAGGGAGAATTCTATCCAAAAGTTGGACACAATTTATAATTTACAAATTTTCTCCATTTCTGTTTCAATAAAATGAAGGTGTTTTTCGTCAAATAATAATTTGGGCTCAGTGAACTATATGGCTGCTACACGGTTACTTATGGAATTCCCTGGCATGATGTCATGATTTCTAAGCAGGAAACAAAATTTAAAACCTAAAAAAAAATGCCGAATTGGAAAAAAATTTATTCAGTTTTTAGTAAAATCTTAAACTGAAGTGTTGAAATTGTAGTACTGAAATTAAAAAAATGTCCAATCAGTATCAAAAGATGTGTCACTATAGAATTTAATCAACTTGCAGTCATAGACATACGGGACATTGTAACTTCAAATACAATCTCAAAATGCATTTCGCCTCATAGGGACATGAGCCCTTAAAGTAACCCCTGCTCACACCAAACTTCACAGGCTTTTGATAACTAATTCAATACCAGATTTATTTAGACAAGTTTTAACTTACAATGACAGGAAATTTGAAATTTTAGGCCTTTATTTAGTAAAACCTATTTTACTCAAATAGTAAAGAAGTTATGCAAAATTCTCTCTGTAATTTTTGTAATCTAATGTCAACACAATGAAACAACACATTTAAGCCTGCCTCTATCAGATTTATATGCCCCAGCTATTATCAATTTTATAAATCAAGCAATTTAGACTAATTTGAGCCTTTTTACATTATTGTTGCTAGGTAACACTTATGGAATTGCCTCTATGTTTGTCACTTTAAGGTATATGGACAAAACAGTGGGAGGTAAAAATGTGAGTCAGTGAGATTGACCTGAGGACAAAACGACAAGGACAAACACACACACACAGAATGAGAGGACATAAACTACACTTAAAGACATTCTTGTTTTATTGAGGTTTAGAAGCATTTTGTAGTAATCCTGTGAGTTCTTGGGACTAGTCGCTAATAAAAATGTAAAGTACAATGTCATCAGTGAGGACAAGACATTACATGACACAAGCACGTTCTAGAATCTGAAAACCACCAATGAGCAGAGGTGTTAAGAGTAACCAAAACATTACACAAGTAAGAGTACTGTTACATCAAGATAATATTACTCAAGTAGAACTACAAAGTAGTGGTCCAAGAAATTACTCGAGTAAGACTAAAACAATATTTGGGAAAAATACTACTCAAGTAAGAGTATCTTAAAGAGTAACAGGAGGGACATAACATCTGATTTATAATTTGAAATTATTGTAACTGGATGGACAAAGGATTCAACACAAAACACAAAATCTGGTCTTTTCAAATGGTAGACACAAAAAACCTTTTTTTTTACTCCAGTTAGAATACTGTTACTTCAATAAAAAAAATATAAAATAAATAAATAAATAAAAATACTCAAGTAGGAGTAAAAGTATGCTGCTAGAAAAGTAAGTAAGTTTTATTGATAAAGCACTTTCACAGACATTTGTCACAAAGACGCTTTACAGAGCATTATTCAGTCACTCCAACCCCGGTGGTTGTAAGCTACTATTGTAGCCACAGCTGCCCTGGGGCAGACTGACTGAAAAGTTTTTGTGACTGGTGCCTCCTGTGGCTCCTGATTTTCCCAGTGGTCTCCATCCAAGTACTAACCAGACCCAGACCTGCTGAGCTTCTGAGATCTGATGGGATCACACTTTGACAAACTGGTATGACCACAAAGTACTGTTACAAGTACACTTTCTTTAAAAAGTTACTCAAGTAAATGAGTACTGTATATTTAAGTAATAACTAGAGAATTAATGTTTAACTTAGCATAGAGTAAGAATTAGCAAAGAAAGGTTTAGATCTATACTAAATTCTGTTAAAACTCCTATTTCTATTTGTTGTTTTGAATATGAATCAATAAGGTGAAGGTTCATCTGTGGCTATAACACGTCCCAACAGAACACCACAACTTCCGTACTTTATTGTAGCATTGCATCTGTTTGGATCATGTCTAGACTTCAGTTTTTAGACATTTCAAATTAGCTAACAATTATAAACGAAATGTGCGTAGTTTTAAGTAGAAGTAGATGGTAAAGTAGATGGAAGTATAATGCGTAACTTTTGTTTTACGAATGGGATGCTTCAGGTCGTGAAATAAAACTTATCTTAACAACTTGATTATTTACTTTATTTAATCATTTATACCTTAAGATCGTGTTTAATACAATTAGGTTTCTTACGTTTAAAATGTTTTTTTATATATAAAAAAGAAGCTTACCGTTCGTGTTTCTATCAGCGATAAATTTGTAAAAACATCGACACTCCACGACACTTCCGGGATCTAAGCTGTCAATCCGTCAAATCAGCCAATCAGGTATGAGTAAAAATACATAAGACCCGCCTTCTTCATCAACAAAAGCAACAACACAGTTTTGTCCGTTTATCGGGTTTACAACATTTATCCCACCTTTATTTGAAACGAAACAAAGACAACAGCGTTATTTGCAATGAGTAGCAGGAAATATCAATAAGTCTGTTACTCATCCCATCTCTCTCTCTCCTTTTCAACTTTCTTTCATCCATTGTCCCTTCCTCTTCTTCTTCTTTCTCTCTCTCTCTCTCTCTCTCTCTCTCTCTCTCTCTCTCTCTCTCTCTCTCTCTGTCTCTCTCTCTCTCTCTCTCTCTCTCTTTCGTGTGATAAATTAAAAAGCACACATAAAGGCCCTGTCATAGGAGTTAAAGACCTATTGTTGTAGCCAACACATGAACACGTAGCAACACATTCGATGTACCAGCAGGGGGTGGCAGATAATAAAATGAAACATTTTCCTACCTGATAAGCTATTGTCTTATGAGGAAGACTTTTTTTCTTTTTTTTTCTTCTGGTAAATGATGATGTTACTGAACAGCAATTTTTATAATATAAAAATATAAAATGTTCCATAGAAGCATTAACATGCCATCCCTAAATGAAAATGCTCAATCTAGTTTGGCTTTCTCTCTCTTCCCCTTTTGGGTCTCTTTTCTCCTAGGGACAGCCTCATAATCTTTGGTCTAATTGTGGAAAAAGTACTAAATTTTGTTACTTAAGTTAAAATACAGATACTACAGTAATAAAATACTCAAGTAAAAATAAAGTACTTGTATAAAAATGTACTTTGAGAGTAAGTAAAAGCATTTTGTGCATATGTTGAGGTCTTATAGGGCTTCAAATGTACTCATTTTGATACAGAGTTGTGTTAAATTTTCTTCAATTGATACAATTGTATCAGTCACACAGGAGGAGCTCGGAGTAGAGCCGCTGCTCCTCCATGTCGAGAGGGGCAGTTGAGGTGGCTTGGGCATCTGTTCTGATCCCTCCTGGGCGCCTTCTTCAGGAGGTGTTCATGTGCCACAGGAAGGAGGCTCCGGGGAAGACCCAGCTGGAAGGGACTATGTCTCTGGGGTGGCCTGGGAACACTCAGGGTCCTCCAGAGGAGGTGGAGGAAGTGTCTGGGGTGATGGAAGTCTGGGAGTCCCTGCTTAAACTGCTGCCTGCGCTGCCACCCGGCCCTGGATAAGCAGAAGAAAATTGATGGATTTTCATAGCTGTTTCACAGCTGTTGTCCCTGTCCTGCTCCACAGACAGAGTCTGGAAGTCTATGTCACGCCACACGTCTGTAGAGCTCTAACTGATGAGGGCAACTCTTATGGACTGTTATGTTGCTATGTTTCTTTCAAGATCAATAAAATGTGTATCTATCTATCTGTCTGTCTGTCTGTCTGTCTGTCTGTCTGTCTTTTTTACTTTTCAGTCCAGTTCCAAATGTAGTGGAGTAGATAGTACAGATATGTACTCTTGGATGTAGTGAAGTAAAAGTAAAAATTATCCACTTTAAAATGTACTTAAGTAAAGTGCAGTACTTTACTACTTTGACTTTGTTACTGTACCACTGTCTTGAACCCAAGGTTGGAAATGGCTGCTATAGAAGACTGTACTAACATACTAAAGTTACTCAAAGGTAAAGTTTTTTTTAGACTTTATATTCTTAATATTTAGCCACTTTGGGTTAGCCCACGATTTAAATAAATAAGGCTCTCCTGTCTTTTTATGTTTAAAAATTCTAATTCTTTATCATAAGGATTCAGTTATAACCGGTAAAGATGAAGCAGTCAGTAGTAGTAGCACTAGTAATACAAGTGTAGCAGCAGTAGCAGTAATAGTAGTAATAGTAGCTGTAGAAGTAATAATAATAGGAGGAGGAGGAGGATGTGGAGATTACACTGATCACTGGAATTTGCTATGACATATCCAGTCACAGTAAATGTATGTATTACATGATATTTGGCTTTAAGAATATTCCTAAAGTACTACAGTACAATATTCTGTGTACATGTGGTTTGAGTTCACACATCTCTATTTAAGGAAAACTCCTCTGTAGTGTTTACAAATGCTCTGTCTCCTCTCAAACTCTGCCTCCCCCTAGTTCCTTCTCTCTCTCTCACACATACACACCCCTCTCCCCTTTCCTCTTCTCCTAAACCTCTCTCCTCCTCACTCTTCTTTCTCTCATTCACCCTCTCTCTGACCTGAATAAATAAATATAAAAACATGACTCATCACCCCCTCTATTATTCTTCTCTCTCCCTCTGTCTTCCTCCTGTCTCTTTTTCTCACTTCTCTCGTCTCCTTTTCACCCCTTTCTTTCGCTCCTTCTCACCTCTCTCTATCTATCTCTCATCTCTCTCTCTTCCCTCTTTCTGTGAGAACCTTTTTCTTATCTCTTATTCTATCTCTCTTCTCACCCTGCCCTCTCCACCCTTTATTTCTCTCCCTCTCCCCCTCTCCCTCCCTTTCATCTCTTCCCTCTCCCCCTCTCCTCTGCGTGCCTTTCTCTAAATAAGGGAGAGAGTGGCCGTAGCTCCGCGCCTTCTCTCCATCCTCCTCCTCGTCGGGCCTCTCTCTCTCTCTCTCTGTCTCTCCCAGGGCCTGTGTCCGCGCGGCTCTGTGCGCATTCCTTCGCCTTGTATGGAGACTCGCTGCTGGCCTCGAACATCTCCACCCCCCGGCTGCCCCCTCCACGAGCCCCCGCCCACTGCCTTTGTCCCGCACAGACGGACTCTCCGATTGGCCGAGACACGTACGGAGGGGCGGGGCCAGAGAGCATTTTTCTAAACAAACATTTGGAGTGAAGTTTTGACTCGTGCGTCTCAGCTGTCCGACCCGGAGTTCACACGTCTGCGTTCATCTGAGGTGAGTTTGTCAGCATTTTTAACTCATCCTTTCACGCATTAATTAAGTTTTTTTTTAGTTTTTAAACCATACTTGTGTTTGAGTATCATTTCAGTCGAGTACAGTCCAGAGAATATGTGGACTGCAGTTTAAAGTTTGTAGTTATCGGTCAAGATTTGCATGAAAACAGTTTTAATGTTATTAAAATTGCATATTAAAGAAACTAGTAGTACTTTGAGTTGTATTTTTATGCGAAGTCTTGTCTTGGTGGTGGTGAAATACATTTAGTCTAAATATAAGCTACTCAAGTAAAAGTACTGTTATTTTGAAGTAACTTGGATAAAGGTAAAACGCTTTTAGAGAAACTATACTCACCCACTGTCTGGACATAACATCTATTTTTAACTGTGAAGTGAATGAAACAGGAAGGATAGAACATTAAATTATAAAAATCACTTCATATTGACAACATAAAGCTTCTGACACTTGTAGACTCACAACAAGTAACCAAAACTACCTTTACTTCAATAAAAGTAAGGAGTAAAAGACCTGTAGGCCTAGTGTATAAATTGTATGTAGCCTGCGTATCTCTGTCCATAGTTGTGTAATTATCTTGACAGGCCTGAAATTTAGTGCTTCCTTCATCGTTTAGTCGGTTATTCGATGGAGTCTCAGTAGACCAAAATGTGTATCAGTCGACTAATCCTTTATGATGATCAAGATGCCTATGGGATAACAGAAGAAGTGAGGGAGCGAGTGGATTATTTGAAGATTTGGTGTTTTTTTGTTATTTAATTGTAAAAAAGCAGATGAAACCCATGATTCACAAGTTTAATCTTTACTTAAATACATTAGTTTTTACTTAAATACATTAGTCTTTAATTAAATACATTAATCTTTACTTAAATACATTAGTTTTTACTTAAATACATTAGTTTTTACTTAAATACATTAGTTTTTATTTAAATACATGAATCTTTACTTAAATACATTAGTCTTTATTTAAATACATTAATCTTTACTTAAATACATTAGTCTTTACTTAAATACATTAGTTTTTACTTAAATATTGTTTCCTTGTAGTCTTTTGTGTAGTTTCTGTATGAGCGCCCCCTGCAGGTGTATTCTTGTGAGTGCAGTAGGGCTGGGTATCATTAAGAAGTTGCAGATACGATACATACCTCGATACATAGGCCGTGATACGTGTCTCGATACAGTGCACTTTCATTTTGATACGATATATTTCAAATCGATACAATATGGGTAAAAAATAAAAAGGTAAAATCATGGCTGTGATACTAAAAGCCTTTGTTAAATGACTTCTTGTGCAAAGTTGATAAGAAAGACACATTTTAATAATCAAAACTGTGAAAACATCAAATATGTTGCATAAATGAGTTTCCTTCCACTGAACAAGCAACAAAATTGTAGCGTTGTAACAAAATAATTACATAAAATACACACAAAAAATACTCTTGGCGATATGTCGAAACAGCAGCCCACGATATCGATACAATAAATGATACGATATATTGATATTTTGATATTTTTGCAAACCCCTAGAGTGCAGTTTGGCTCAGATACACACAGATACATACACATTTTGAGAGCTTTTGCCACTCCCCCTTTTTAGTCTAGTCATAAGAATTTCTTGCGTGGACTACAGGCCGACTGCAGTTCACATCACATCTTTGTACGAGACAAAATGTTATGTTTGTTTAGTTTTAGTGTTAACCTAAACAATGTTTGTGTGTGTTGCCAAAATACAAACATCTCCAAATCAATTTCTGTGCTTTCTACCTTATGTCACTGCTGTCTCACTTCACTGTTTGTGTATGGAATCTGTTCATTTTGACTCTGAGGTGAGAAATTGTTTAAACTGCAAATACTGATGATGTGTCAGATGCCCTCCCATCCTCTTTATCCCTGAATAGAACAGAAGGACTTTGCCAAAACTTCACACACTTAAAGGTTGTATGGAGGATTTTTATTTATTTATTTTTTCATTTCAAATTGTCAATGAAAGTTTAAAATACCGTTTCAAAGACATTGCAGCCTTGTAATTATGATGGCCAAAAAAAAAAAAAAAGAATGAAAATCTATCAACTGTGGACGTAGTGAGGCCAGATAAACATCAGCCAATAGATAACGAGGCTCCCTCATTTTCTATTGGCTGTTAGGTTGTCAATTAAACTCTCTATGTTTCTAGTGTAACTGACTCGCTGGCGCGCGGGGATTACATGGTTTATGCAGCGGTTCTTAGAGGCTTTTTTAAACTGTCGCTTCCTCGCAGTTCGCACAAAGTTTGTTGCGATGGCCGACGAGAATCCACGACCAGTTAATCACAAAAAAAAGTCTGTTTTTGAGGTCGCTGAAAGAAGAAGAGAAGGGGAAAAGGAGCAAAGCCAAACTGAGGTGATTCTTGGAGATTCCTTCCAGCGATGGCACGAATGAAGCAGACGAAGTGTCTAAAAACTGCTCGCTAAATTACTTCTAGACAGGTCACTTCAACAGTAATTCTTAACAGTCACCGGCTGTAAACAAACGTGATTTCTAGAGTAAGGAGGCGGGAGGAGGTGTTTCTAGGCGTTTCTAAAGGACTGTCGGTGTATTTCTTTTCCCTTAAAAATCCTCTATACAACCTTTAAAAAACATCAAACTTCATCCTCGCCCTGAGTCCCTGAAAGAGTAGCAGCAGGTTTAGAGTAGCTCCTGAAGATTTTCCTTTGTGTGAGCTCCTGTGTCCAAATAATTACACTTGTGGATCAAGTTTGTCTCAGTCTAAGTCAAATAAGCTTCTGTGCTAAGTGCTAACCCCGATCTGTGGCTCCATTTTGTCTCCAGCTAAGTGCAGTACTGGGTATTTACAGTGAGGACGATCTGGATCTGTTATAAGTTCATTAAACTACCCAAACTCAGGGACCAGTCACCAGTGTTGGGAAGGTTACTTTTAAAATGTATTCCCCTACAGATTACAGATTACATACACCAAAATGTAGTTTGTAACATAATCCATTAAATTACTTAAAGTGAGTAACATAATCTGAATACTTTGGATTACTTGATTTACTGTAGAGAAGCAAAGACTCAGATTTCTTCACATAAGAAGTTTTGTCTGCTAAAAGAAAATGAAAAACCCAGACTTTACTGAACCAAATAAAAAATATTATTGATAGAAGACGAGGAGACACGGTCCACACAGCAGGATTTAGTCCTGGTTTAAGTCCTGGTTTAGTCCTGGTTTATACCTAGTTTAGACCTAGTTTAGATCTAGTTTAGACCTGGTTTTAGTCCTGGTTTAGACCTGGGTTCAGTCCTGGTTCAATCCTGATTTAGTCCTGGTTTAGATGTAGCTTAGACCTGGTTTTTGTCCTGTTTTAGACCTGGTTTTTGTCCTGGTTTTAGACCTGGTTTTTGTCCTGGTTTAGACCTGTTTTTTGTCCTGGTTTAGTCCTGGGTTTAGACCTGGGTTTAGACCTGGGTTCAGTCCTGGTTCAATCCTGGTTTAGACCTGGTTTAGACCTGGTTTAGTGTCCGGCAATGAGTGGAAATACCGAGAAAAAAAAAAGGGATATAGCCCAAAATGTGGAAACAGGAAAATACCGCCATGTGTAATCCATTTATTTCAACAAAGTAATTGTAATTCAATTACCACTCACTGAAACAGTAACTGTAACCGAATACAGTTACTCATAATTTGTACTCTGATTATGTAACGCTGGTACATGTAATCTGTTACTCCCCAACACTGGCGGTCACACCCCAGCATGGTTCATGGCATTTATTCTGTCAGAACTGAGTTCAGTTCTGTCTGAATCTTATTTGTGTGTTAAGTGCTGTAATTTAAGCAGAGCCTTATCAGAGGAAATTCCCTTTTCCTGAACGCTCCTTTAAAACACCAGTATTGTTTAGTTTCCAGCTCACTCACTAACTGGCACCACCTCAGTCTGGAACTTCATTTTAGACTTTAAAGAGGGGGTATTATTAATACAATGTTATTATGTTCTTTCATCAGAACATGAGGTTTTAGGTGTCATCCATGCAAGTTTGACTAATCTATTGATCTCCTTGGCCCGATTCAAACCCTCTTTATGGTTAGCAGTAAGATTTGTCCAATGCTTCTCCCTCAAGTCCCCATCACCCAGGCTCCCACACGACAATTCTTCATAAATATACAATAAAACCATACAAAACAATACAATGTTCATGTGTGATGTGATGAGCAAGAGTTCCATGCAACAAATTTAAATATGAGTAAAAAGGACAGAATTTGTAGTCCCCTGCACTACTTACACTAAAGAAGGGGTCTCCAACCTTTTTTCTCCAGAGAGCTACCAATTTCAGCAGTCGCAAAGTAATTGAGTAAATATAAGAACCACGGCAAGTCTTAGATGGCGAACAGTTAGATATTTATAAAACATAAACCATTATCCATTTATGGGTGCACCAATTTAGGAATCAAAATGACACATGCATCAAATTTGACTTATTATCCACAATACATCGAATGGCTTTGTATGGCTTTGTCCAGACATCTGCCCATAGACTGTATAAAGAAGTGAACTGAGGGAGTGAGACATCAGTGAAGCTCATGAAGGCCACAAGTTATAATGGTGAATTTGGAGGCGAGTTTCAAATTTGGTGTAGTATCACAGCAAGCAAACAAGAATAAAATCTGTTGCTCACACCCCCAGTCCCCATGTTTTAGTTCCCGGGCTATCCTACACTGATCACTGCTGTTATTAGCTTTCAAACTAAACTAAAATCTGTTGGAGCCAGAAGCACACCCATACTCGCTTACTGTTTAGAATGATGCAGCAAACAGGTAAATATGTCCATTTATACATAGATGTGGACAAAATAGTTGGTACCCCTCTGGCAATGAAAGAAAAATCAACAATAATCACTGAAATAACATGAAACTGGGAAAACCAACAATAAATAAAAATGTATGGAAAATTTTCCAACAAAAATCAAACATTGCTTTTTACCTGTGGTTCAACAGAATCATTAGAAAAAACAAAATAATGAAACTGGCCTGAACAAAAATGATGGTTCCCTTAAATTAGTATTTTGTTGCACAAACTTTTGAGGCAAACTCTGCAAACAAATGATTTCTGTAACTGTCAATGAGACTTCTGCACTGATCAACAGGTATTTTGACCCATTTCTCGTGAGCAAAATGCTCTAGTTGCCTTTAGGTTTGAAGGGTTCCTTCTCCAGAAGCATGTTTCAGCTCCTTTCACAGATGTTCAGTAGAATTGAGATCTGGACTCACAGAAGAACACTCCAGAACAGTCCAATGTTCTTAGTCATTCTTGTGTGTTTTTAGCTGTGTGTTTCGGGTCATTATCCTGTTGGAAGACCCATGACCTACGACTGAGACTGAGCTTTCTGACACTAGGCATCACATTTCTTGCCAAAATACCTTGATAGTTTAGAGATTTTGTTGTACCTTGCACAGATTCAAGACACTCTGTGTCAGATGCAGCAAAACAGCCCCAGAACAAAACCAAACCTCCTCCATGTTTCACAGTAGGGACAGTGTTCTTTTCTTGGTCTGCTTCATTTTTGCGTCTGTGAACATTGAGCTGATGTGTCTTGCCAAAGAGCTTCAGTTTTGTCTCATCTGTCCAAAGGACATTCTCCCAGAAGCTTTGTGGTTTGTCAATATGTACTGTGACAAATTCCAGTTTCACTTTTTCTAATTTGCTCTCAACAGTGGTGTCCTCACATGAAGTCCACTTTGGCTTAATCAGTGATGGATGGTGTGATCTGACACTCATGTACTTTGCCCTTCAACTTCACATTTAATTTGTTTGGAGGTTGTTCTAGACTCTTTGGTTCCATTCATATGATCCATCTCTTCAATTTGTCATGAATTTTCCTCTTGCAGCCACGTCCAGGGAGGTTTCAGTCCTGTGGACCTTAAACTTCTGAAGAACATGTGTAACTGTAATCACAGGAACATCAAGCTGCTTGGAGATGGTCTTATTGTCTTTATCTTTAACCTGCTTGTCTCTCATTTTCTTTCTAGTCTCCTGACACAGTTGTCTTCTCTCTGGTCCATGTTCAATGTTGTCTCCATCATGTCTCCAAACAGCACAATGACACATGTTGCCTTTAAACAGACAGACTGACCAAGTCTGAAGAACCTGTGATGCAGATTAAAGACACACTGAAGTTTAACATGTTCCTATTGTCCAATTACTTTCGCCAGTTTCATTAGTTTTTTTTTTTTTTTTTTATAATTCTGTTGAACAATAATTCAAAAACAGTGTCTGATTTTCATTGATTAATTTTCAGTAAATTTGTATTTATTATTGCTTTTCTCAGTTTCCAGTTATTTCAGTGACCATTGTTGATTTTTCTTTCCTTACCAGAGGGAACCAACAATTTTGCCCATGTCTGTATGTGCATTCGCCACATGCCTGTATTCAAATTAGGTCCTCAGGAAAAAAAAAAAAAAAAAAAACTGTAACTGCCCAGGACTGGTCTGAACATACAGAGCAGACGTCCATGTAAGGCTCTGCTGACTGCTGTGGGTTTATTATGTGGAGATAAGACAGACCACACTTTTACATTTATAACTGTGTTTGGATTTGAATACTGAGCAGAGACACGGGCCATGTTTGGAGGGCCAGACCGTCCCAAACAGAAGCAGCTGCACTTAAACAGGAGGAATTTAAGCGACACAAAAAAGTAGAAATGGCCTGAATTAAAAAAAAAAAAAAAAAAAAAAAAATAAATATATATATATATATATATATATATATATATATATATATATATTTTTTATATATATATAATTAAATAACAATAATAATAAAATTAAAATTAAATAAATTAAAATGTACAAATACATTAAAGTAATATAAATAAATAAATAGATGTAAAAATGTATGAGTAAAAACATAAATGGAAATACTTATAGCGGACCTTGCACTGGACAAGTTTGGCCACCGCAGCGAGGAGCAGCAGTGTGAGGGAGAGGGAGGGGCTGAGGCGGTTGATGTTCCTGAGGTGAACATACATAGACTTGGAGATGTTGTTGATATGGGATTGAAATTAAAGTGTACTGTCCAGAATGACGCCAACTTGCCAAGGCTCTTTACTTGAGGGGAGAGACAGATGGAGGAACTGTCAGTGGAAATGGAGAGCCTGGGGTTTTCTTGATGCTAGACTTGGTGCCTATTAACAGGACTTCAGTCTTATTGCTATTGAGCTTCAGAAGATTAGATGAAAACCAGGACTTGATTGCGGGAATACAGGAGGCAGGGGGAGAGTGTCAGATGGTTTGGAGGAGATGTAACTGGGTATCGTCTGCATAGCAATGGAAATGGATGTTATATTTTCTGAAGATGTGGCCAAGGTGAAGCAGGTAAATGATAAAGAGCAGGGGGCCAAGGATGGAGCCTTGTGGAACACCAGAGGAAACGGGGGAAATTTGGATCACAGTTGCAGAGATATGATTTAAACCAGAGCAGGAGTGTGTGAGATAATCTGTCATTGAGGATGGTGTGAGAGATGCAGAGGTTTCAGATGCAGAGGTCAGGTCCAGTAGGATGAGGATGAAGAAAAAGCCTTTGTCAGCTCTATGAGGTGTTTGGTTATGTCTGTCTCTGTGCTGTGGAGGACCTGAAACCGGACTGGAATTAAGAAGAACAAATAAATAAGTAAATGTCAAAATAAATTCAATTAATACTGAAATGTAAAAAGAGGCTTTTTAGCTTTTTAATCCAAAGAATATTATGCATTAATATGTAAATCCATTTATTTATTGCTCCTGTTTGCCCCTGTCTGCTCCTGCGTGCCTCTGAGTCTGCTCCTCTGGCTCTGCTCCTATAAACCTCTTGTATATTTGTGTTTTTTGCAGTAAACCTTCATCATGTCGAGCAAACGAGCCAAGGGAAAGACCACAAAGAAGCGCCCTCAAAGGGCCACTTCCAACGTGTTTGCGATGTTCGATCAGTCGCAGATCCAGGAGTTTAAAGAAGCATTCAACATGATCGATCAGAACAGAGACGGCTTCATCGACAAGGAGGATCTACACGACATGCTGGCCTCTCTCGGTACACACTTTTACTATTATTAATACTGGGGAGGAGAAGCTAAAAGACAACACGGCTTTGTCTGAAGCTCTTTTTCAAAAGTTAGGCTTTAATTTGAGCTTTGTTTTAGGTCAAGGTTAAGGCATTAACACATGTACAGCAAACTGACTCATCATCATGAATTAACACATGAATCACACGGTCTGTTTGGACCAGTCAAGTGCTAAAACTGGACTGAGAGGCTCATCTGACAGGACAAACGCTGTTCTCATGAGCTGATTCCATGTGGATACATTTACACATACAGTCCACAAGTCTAATGCGATGAATCTTTTTTTAATCATTTGTCAGCCCTAGTTTTACCACAAACTCACCATAAAGAATGGACTTAAGTGAACTACAACAGGTGATCTGATCTGTGCTGTTCCTGTCACTCTCACCCTTTTCTCTCACAGGACCATGAACCCTCATATTGATGACAGGCTCCTGAAAATGTGCTGCATAAATCCATTTTGTAATTTGTTTTCAGAGCATATAAAAAGCCCATTTTATATCATAATTGTTGTTTTGGGGATATGCAAAATGAGAATATTGAGAGTAGATCATATATAAATAAAACTATTAAGCATTCTGTTTAAAAGAGACTGTAATGTTTACTGTAATCTATATAAAGTAATCTATGTATAAAGGGAAACATTTTCTGGCAACTATATGGTCTCTGGTCATGTTCAGGTTCATTCTTATTTCAGTCCGGGTTTAATCCTAGTTCAGTCCTGTCTTAATCCTGTAGGTTTAGATCTGTACAAACATGTTTTGAGATCAGTCAGTTCTGTTCCTTTTTCAGTCTTTTTGTCAACAGAACAGAACAGAATCTTATTGAAACATCAAACACAAAACTAATCACAATCATGATGTCAGTCAGAAAAATTACAATTAGATTTATTCTGAAAATCATTCAGCTCTAGTTTGTTGTCTGTAGGGAAGAACCCATCAGATGAGTACCTGGAGGGGATGATGGCGGAGGCCCCGGGGCCCATAAACTTCACAATGTTTCTGACCATGTTTGGAGAGAGACTGAACGGCACCGACCCAGAGGACGTGATCAGGAACGCCTTCGCCTGCTTCGACGAGGAGGGATCTGGTCAGTTTTTAACAATAACTCTAAAACTTCTGGTCCAGTCATTACATCCCACATGTCACTGGAGGTTTTCAGTTGCAGTGGTGTGTAAATGTTGCTGTAGACAGGACAAACATGCTTTTGGTCCACAGAAACAAAGAGACAATGTCAGCATCACCTCCAGTCTCTCTCTCTAAAACCTTCAAATCAGGCAAGAAATCTCAATGTAATAATGGACTCAGACTTGAACTTTAACAGTCACATCAACTCAATAACATCTACAGCCTTTTACTATCTAAAAAACATAGCAAAAATCAAAGGTTTACTGTCTAAAGCAGATTTGGAGAGACTTATCCATGTGTTTCTCTCCAGTAGGTTAGATACTGTAATGTTCTGCTCACTGGTCTCTCCAAACGAGCTGTGAGACGCTGCAGAACATCCAGAACGCTGCAGCTCGGGTCCTTACTCGAACTAGGAAGTACGAGCACATAAGTCCTGTGCTCAGGTCTCTGCACTGGCTCCTGTGGCTCAGAGACTTTAAAGCAGCTCTGCTTGTACAAGTGTCTTCATGGCCGAGCACCAAAGTACATCTGTGACATGTTAGTGTCATATGAACCATGTCGCACTCTGAGGAGCTCAGGGACCGACCTCCTGCTGGTGCCCAGAGTCAGGACTAAACAAGGGGAGTCAGAGTTTTAGATTCACGCAGCTAAAACCTGGAACAGTCTGAACATGTGAGACAGACTCGACTTTGACGCTGTTTAAATCCAGGCTCCAAACGATTCTGTTTTACTGTGCACATGACTGAAAGGTTTTCATTCTGCACTCTTCTCTCTAATTTATGTAATTAATGTCTCTCTGTCTTTTTTAATTTTAATCTTTAATTTTGTGATGATTATTTATGTTTTGATTAGTTTTTATTGTGATTTTAATGTATTTCTTATTCTGTAAAGCACTTTGAATTACTTTGTGTACGAATTGTGCTTTACAAATAAACTTGACTTTCCTTGCCTGACACATTGTATTGAGGATAGTATGTAGTCGCCTTTAGTTAAAGAAGCCATTTTTGGAATAATATTACTAAGTACAGACCTGTGAGTGAGGATAGGGGATTGTCTGAGCATTCAAACCTCAAATGCAGGACCATAAGATTACTCTGAAGCCCAGTGTACACCAGTCCACCTGTTTGCCATAGGAAGGCGACAGAAGGTGGTGCTGTGGACAGTGCGTGTCTGTTTGATCTGGAGAGTGACATTGGCCCTCAAAGGACATAGTTCTGCCTCACTGGAAAGAAATTTAATCCTGACTTAGTCCTGGTTTAGTCCTGGTTTAGTCTCCAAGCAACAGACAGCAACACTTCAAGATGGAGGAAAACGTTCTTCTGCTTTGAAAATGTTTCATGGATGATTCAAGTCAAGTCAAAACTGAGAGCTGTTGAAAGACAGTTGAAAAAAAACAACATGTATATATCTTTGGGCTTGAAGGTTCAACTCTCATCTCTTATTTTTATTAATTTTTATCATGTAATAATATATGTTGTTGTTGTTTAGGTTTTATCCACGAGGACCACTTGAGGGAGCTGTTGACCACAATGGGCGACCGCTTCACAGACGAGGAAGTGGACGAGCTTTTCCGAGAAGCTCCCATTGATAAAAAGGGAAACTTCAACTACGCTGAGTTCACGCGGATTCTGAAACACGGAGCCAAAGACAAGGATGACGAGTGAACCAATGGGGCCAACTGCCAACTCAACAACACTTAAGTAGGGCTGCACAATACAACAAGTCTGCAAATAAAATCACCTATGTACCTGGTTTTTACTGCCTTAAAAAACCTGAAAACCAGAACTAGTTCATTTTAAACAGTTTTCAGTGGTCCAAAAATGATTCCTCAATTACCTAATGCATTCAGCACATAGAGTTTAGAAGCACTTTTCACAACTTTCAGAGACATACAGGGAAAGTTTGCTTCCTCTTTGTAAGATGCACACATGTACACAGTGGACTTACAAAATATGTGTACTGGGGCAATGTACATTTTGCTCAAAAACATGTTGGAAAATGGGTAGAATGTCCTTTGCACAGAACAGTATCAACAATATCCCATCTTTGCATAGAAAATTCTTGTCTCTGTAGTTTAGACGTCTACATACATGATCTAAATGCACAGGATTCTTTATTGTATCTTGTTTTGTCTCAAACACTAACGCTCCTGAACACTCTGATCAGAATCCTACTTTTAACATAAATGACAAATCTTATCACAATCAGAAAAGTCTCAACTTCAAAATTGTGCAGCCCAACTTATAGAAGGATAAATAGTTATAAGAGTTACGCAAACCCCGCCTCCATCTGAGATTATGACGTGACACAGACTATTGGGTGAAGACAAAAATGTGTTTGAATAAAGTATTTGGAATGAGACTGGTGGCAAAATGTATAATTATGATTTCAGATTAAGAAATGTCTTTTTTTCCCCTCATTTTAAAAAAAAGTAAATATTTATACTCTTTATTCATCCTATGTGTTTTTCAACCATTTTGAAATTATTCAAATTATTCACATGTATTATTAATTTGAAATAATGTAAGGAAAACAGCTAAATGTAGATGATGTGTGGATTGTAGTGGAGCAGTTCAAATCAGTAAGTGAGCATGTGAATGACATGGAGAACCACCTCATCACATCATGAGGTTGAGTCGAGGCTTTGGAAAGTGTAAAAGTATTTGTATTTGGGACCATCACATGTTCTTTTCTTTTTTAACTTTTACAAATATTTTCTTTAAATACATAATGAGAAATGTCCTAAAATTGTTTAAATAAATGTTTATGAAGCAACGATGTGTGATTAAAAAAAAAACAAAAAAAGTCTGCACGATGCAACTTTTCAGATGCTGTTTGTTTCAGTGGAGATGTAACAGCCTTGACTGCAGTGTTGAATAGTTTGAATATTGGACGCCACAACTATATCTCTGTTAGTATGTTCCATAGTAGGGCATTATTAAACCAGTATATATTGCAATCACATGTTTTTTTTTTGTTGTTGTTGAACAAACCTACCTTGAAAAACACTCTACTCTCCACCAGGTTTGTCAAAAGTAATGAAAATCAGATACGGATCAATACTAAAACTTGTACATCTCAAACAAATTCAGGCATTGAATACATGTTTCTTGAAGTTCAGTGTGAAGTTTCCACAGTCGGTGATGATCTGAGCTCCCATGTCAACTGTTGGTGTTGGTCCACTGTGTTTTTCTGTGTTTTTCAATGCAGCCATTTACCAGGACATTTTAGAGCACTCTGTGCTTCCTTCTGCTGACGAGCTCTATGCTCGTGCTCATTTAATTTCCCAGCAGGAATTGGCACCTGGCCGCACAGTCTAAGTTACTAAAAGATGGTTCATTGATCATGGTGTTACTCTGCCTGATTGGCCAGTAAACTTGCCTGACCTTGGACCCCCTAGAGAATCTCGAGGGTTTTGTCAAGAGGAAGATGAGAGACACCAGAGCCACGATGCACATGACCTGAAGACTCCCGTGAAGGCAACAAGGCCTTTCATTCTACTGAGCAGTGCCACAGGGCGATCTCCTCCATGCCATGGTGCACTAAAATCCATGCCATGGTGCACTCATGTCATATTGCACTAATGCAGAACTGACCTTGAAACACACACACACTTACTTGTTTACATCGTAGGGACCTGTCTGGAACATGCCTAGTGGGGACCGCATTTCAAGCATGAATTAAACGGAGGTTTTAGCTGATAAAAAAAATCAATTTTAAGTCAGAAATTTTGGGGTGACCTTGGCCTCTCTGAAATAATCTTAGTTAACAAAAAGACACTTGACAGGTTTTTCTATTCCCATGGAGACCTTTCCATTATGTCATACCATAAACCACCAGCAGGTGTCACTTTTACAAGACCTCTTTCTAGTATTGTCTCAAACCCGCTTATTGTGGTCCTCGCTTTATGAACTAAAGACATATTTAATTCTAAACTTCACTCAAATTTGTAATTTCTGTTTTGTTGTAGACCTTGTATAAGCAAAGCAGTTGAGTTTAATATTTATAAATAATTGTGTTTTACCACAGATGGGTGTCTTCTTTTCATATTTGTTTCTTAAATATTTACATATGTTAATTATTATTTTGAATATGTGTACTCAATTTTAACTCTTTCCTACATTTACATACAGATTTTGTTTTACAGATTATACTGGGCAACAAGTGTCTTCTTTTTGTGAAATAATGTAGAATTACAGTATCACAATTTGATGAAACTGATGAATAAATAAAATAAAATAAATTTGCTTTAAGGTAGAGAGCTGAAAATTGAGTCTGGTAACAGTGGCCCTGTGAACTGTCAGTGTGTCCAATATTAGATCCCTGCACCCTTTCTAAGGGTCAAAGGTTGTTTTATAATGTTCCTAATATAGTACACACTTGATATTTAAATATGTTACACAATCCACTGCCTTCTATCCAGCTGTTTTTGTCCCAACTCATTCAGACCCTCCCAAAGCGAACTAGTTTTCCTTGAGGCCTACAGAAATGAGACTTCACATTCTGGTTTAGGGGAGTCCACTGAGCTGCTGACCATTCAAGTCTCTTGGTTTATTTTTACCCACTTAAACAGGCCATTGTGATGATAGTTTCAAAACAGGCCAGCCAACACACACACACACGCACACACATTGTGTAATGAATCTATATAATATACAGATGTGACTTTTTGAAATGAATGAAATATTGTTTTTCATTATTATTTTTTATATGTACTAGTAGAGAGTCATTTAAGAAGATGTCAATACTTAAAAAAGTGTCATTCACAGGACAGACATGAACCTTTCTTGAATAGTTTTAGAACCTTTGATGAACCTTTCCTGAATGTCTTTAGAATGATCTTGAGCTGTATCAGAATTAGTGTAAGAGCACATTGATCATGGACCACTATGAACCTACCTGGACCTAGATTACACACATGGGAGTATAAAAGAACATACACTTGATGTTGAAAATCAAATTCTACTGTCTAAACTAAAGACTTTTTTTTTAATTATCATCGTGGTATTGGGATTGGTATTGAATACTGAATATTTGAAATATTCTTGACAATACTACTTCTGAACCGTAACTTGGTCTGAAAGCGTCAACTACTTGTCTCCATGTAGATAAACCAAAAGAGCTAAAATAAATATTAAAACATCTGGCATTTACAAAAGAAATGTTTTTAATTTTCTGAAATGATACAAAACACGAGTTTAATATTGCACTGTTTCTACTGAGAAGTTGGTCATTTAAAAAAAAAAAGAAAACATTATCAAGTTTAAGGCACAACATTCAGTTGATTCAGAAAATATGAATAAAAACACAACAAAATTCATGCCAACGTGTATGAAAAGTCAAATATATATACAAACACACGTATTAAATGTTTCTCAGTCTAAACTTTTTAAACAATTTTTTGCTGACATGATTTGAGGCATTTTAACTGTGATCTAAAGAATAAACCAACATCAAACTAAAATTTAGAAAATGAGGTATATAAAAAGGTTTGTAAAATGACAAAAACATGTGAAATTATTAACCGTCTATGTGAATAATTGTGCTCTTAAACAGTTAATTTCATCAGCAATGATTCTCAGTTTGTAGCTTATTGGTGGTACTTTGCCATGAAATATTAGGTAAATGCCCAAATGTTGAACCTGAACATTTCTGAGTGACTAGACTCAAGAACTCACCGTATTACAACAAAAATCTGCATTTTAACAAGATTCATTTTAGCTGCTCCCATCTGTATTAAATATGATTAAACTACAACATGTGGTGAGGTCATCTGTAAATAGTGTAGAAGACGTGTTTTTGACAGTTTGGCAGTGAACAGAATACATTTCTGAAATTGACAAAAAAAAAAAAGTGTGAACATGTTTAGCAAAATAAAATAAAAGAATCTTTACAGTAGCATTCTGGATTTGAACACTAAAGTTAAAATTGGTGTAAAAATCCAGCCTTTATATGAGACAGTTTCATAGAAACTACAAAAATGTGAATGATGCAAATATACAAATACAATCCTAGATACACAGCTGTTAATGCTTAAGACATTTTGAGGTCATTATTGTTGAGAACGGATACAATTACAGAGGATGTGATGTTAAAATGGAAATTATCTGACCAATTATCTTCATTTCCTCAAATGGAGAAACATGGTAAATTAATACATGTTTTAAAAAATGACAGAAGAAATCTAATCTTATCTGGCAAAATGCTGGTTATCTGGTTAAGATGCTGGTTATGTGAGAGATTAGCCACTTGTAGGACTGTTGGACTAAGAAAAACTCACATCTAAACATAATGTTAAAAAAAAAAAAAAGTGTAAATAAAACTTGTGCAAATTTGTTTGAAACAAAACATCTAAAAATGCATTTCTCTCGCTTTGAGATTTTTTGAGTGAAATTCAAAGTGTTGCTACATTCAAAACCACTTCTAGTTCTGCTGGTACTTAACCCGGGACTGAACATGGCAGACTGTACATTCACAAGAACACTGAGAGGTTTCTGAAATTAAAGACTAATTTTAAAGCAAAGCTGCAATTTAAGATTATTAAAACCATTTGTATTTTAAACCATCAATATTTTTAAACAGATAAAAAATATATAACTGAAGAGATTATTGAAAAGAAAATTTAAAAATAATTCTTGTTTTGTGCCATGCTGACTTAAACCGATGACCAGATGATGCTTTAAACCATTTCTGTCACATAGCACGGTTTAAAAGGTGCCATGTTATATTTAAAATAGACTCCAAGCCATGTTACAATGTGGTGACCTCATCAAAAACATGCACTGCAGTTGTGTTGAGTCAGACATACTAATAATAAAGGATTACTCAAAGCTCAGAATGCTCTGTTCCACCTTGTTATTTCATGAAATGGTAGTTCATGTTAAAAGCTACTGTTGTAGAGATTGGATCATTTCAGCTCTGGAATTGCCAAATGATTCTAGTGAAGATGTATAGAGTTTAAAAACATAGGAGTACTTCCTGTTTCACCACATGACATCACAAAATGGAACAGTGTTTTCTGTTTGAGAGGAACATGCGTGTTTTATACATGTGTGAATAAAACGAGACAGAACTCCAAGAATGTTTTTTTTCCTGATCTATGTTCTAATGGAGTTTCCTCATCACATAGTGTAATCTGGGCCTTTAAACTGAATGATGAATAACAACTTCAGTCAATTTGTCTACTGAAATAGAGTTCCACTTTAAGTAGCTCAAGTTTAAAAATTGGGAGTGATGAGGACAACTTCACAAAGCAAAAATTTTGTAACTTTGATAAAATGTCCAAAAATACATGTATCCAGCGTTGGGATTCTGCAAAGAGGAAATTGTTCTTACATTCAGCAAGACTGCTACAGACGTGTGCTGCTGGTGCCAGACCCGACAAGAAATGTACAGTTTTGCAAGTCTAAAATGTCTCTTTAAAAAAAAAAAAAAACAAATCTTGAGTCAATACATTCCAATATTTACAAAACTTTCATATAAATGTGTCTTTCAGTTGACAGTTTCTTGGTGTAAATTATGTTTTGGTGTCCAGACTGCTGCGATTGGTGCCTGCACAACTTTAATCGGTCCAGTTTGCCTAGTTTCTGAATGCACCATGCTCCAGACTGGTCTATGGGCACTCTGGGATGCCGTAACTTGTGACTGTGTAATCCGAATCGGCGTTAAAGTCGACGACTGGCTGGAAATTGGCGCAAAGGAAGACTGGGTGGAGGAAGATTTGGCGACTGACTGGCACGGGAGAGCATATTTATGAATGGGAAGGTACAGAGGAAGACGCAGAGGAGAGGAGACGAGAGTGACAGTGGGAGAAGGCTTAGAGGAGGGCAGAGATGCAGCTGGAGGTGCAGAGGAGGGAGGAAGAGGTGCAGAGGAGGGATGAACGGTTGCCTTATCTTTTCCTAAGGCACTCCAAATGACTTTAGTGAGCGTCGGAGCAGCCAAAACGACTGAGGGGGAAGGGAGGGAGGAGGGTTGAGCTTTGACTGATGCGACGGAGAGAGGAGGGGAAGACATGACTTTCTCCATCTGGATCTGAGCCTGAGATGGGTCCAAGATCTGCAAATGTAAGGGAAGATTACATTATGTTAATTGAAAGATAATACTAATATTAATACTAATACTAACACTAACACTGACTACCAAAGAGGAATTTTATATAGTGTGCAGAGGAGAAGAGCAGACAAAATGCAATTCTCACCTGCTGACTTTCTTCTGGTGGAGGTGTGGGTCCCAGATTTCTCTCCTCTGTTTGGATCAGATCATTCACCGCCCTTTCCTCCTCTTCCTCTCTCTTCTGCTCCTGCTCCTCCTCTCTCCTCTGGCTCTCTTGCTCTGCTGCCCTTTGCAATGCTGCTTCCACGAGCAGTTTTAGATCGCTGAAATCATGAGAGGGAAGGAGTTCCGGCGGCGTTGGGGGTGGGGTGTTAAATACATTACTCTGATTGGCTGTGTTCTGCTCCTCGGCCTCCCTCAGCAAACTCTGCGTGTCCAATCGGAGCAGAGCTTCTTTGCCTCGAAAACCATTCAAAATGGCTGCTGCTGTGTTTCCAAGGGCGGTGAGATCAAGTGTGGGACCAGAACGGATGACGGAGGGGCGCAGGTGCTGGGTTTGGTGGTGATGGGAGGAGGAGGAGGATGAGGAGGAGTGGCGCTCCGGAGAGGAGTTTGCTTCACCTTTGAGACCCACTTTTCGGGAAATTGTGAACTTGGTTGGGTCTTTGCCGTCCTTCCGCAGCAGATCAGGCAGGAGGCGGCGGCGAGCATTGATGAACCAGTTACAGATCTGTGAGAAAGAACAAAGGTTTTAGAGTTAAACTTGACTGCCTCAATCAAATTATTAAAATAAATAAATAAATGCATTCATAGTTTGTGAAATTTCACAAAGACAAGACATTGGTCCAAAATCCTGTCCTGTTTTACTGAAGCCACATTTTACTGAGCTCCCTTCTAATCATTATTAACAATTTAAATGCTTGCACTGTGTCTATGAAAATTGTGTATTTAAATTGCAAGAATCAATTTAATCAAAACAAATCTCCAAAAAGTCTCCCCTCTCTCACCTGGAGCACAGACAGCCCAGTCCTCGCAGACAGACTCAGTTTCTCCTGCTCAGATGGATAGGCGTTAAAGCGGTGGTCATACAGCCAGTTCCTCAGGATTTGCACGGCCTCTTTGGGCAGGTTGCCGCGGCGTTTTCGTTTGGCTCCGGCCGCTGACAGGTCAAGAGGGCAGCCATCGTCACTGTCAGACATGGCGGATGAGAGGCCCAGCTCCTCTGACTCCAGAGCTGTAGAACAAAAAGGGAATAAACACACCTTCAGTTGGAATATCAACTCAGTCATGCATCATGACAAACCTAAGAGTTTTATTTTGCACTGATGATTTTACTTCTCAAACTGAAGACAATATTTTTAGTAATCACAGCAGTACATCTTGGTAAATTACAGACCAAGTAATTATTTAAAATGTTTTTTTGCAAACAAAACAGCTAACAAGTCTCCATCACAACAACTACATGTTTTTACTTTCAAATGTCTCAAAGATATGGAATTATTATTGCATTTCACTGCTGTTCTCAAGAATGCTGATTTTGCAGCAGATGATGACATAGCCATCTCAGAGTTTAAAAATGCACCATGAACGCAGCATTATTCTCCCTGTAACACACCATCTCTCGTCACCACCAGGACCATCCAATCAAGTTTATTCATTTCATAGATGCATGCTGGGTCAAATGCAGAAGACAATTCTCTACAAGGACAAAAAAAAAACAAAAAAAACAAACAAAAAACAAACATGCCTTACACTGGAATTAACTTCCAATTTACACATGATTCAGATGATCTTTCAGTGTAGCCACAGGTCCCCTGAGGTCGATTTGATGGAAGCACGGCAGTCAATCTTCACCATGGGTCTTGTACAAGTGCACCCTAACCCAACTTTAACCAGGGAGTTTACTAGTCATCTAGAACTGGCTGTATTCTCTCATTTCACACTTTATGCCCCCTCTCCCCTCAGAGCTGTAAATGAGCCTCATATAGTCTCATTCATTTGGCACTAACAGTAAAACAGCAGGAAGAGCTTCATATGCTAATCACAAAATTCATGGTTTTCCGTCAAAGTCTCCAAAGTGTTGAGATATGCATTAGGTACAACTGACTAACTTGTACCAATAGTACTAACTATAGAAGTAATAGTAGTAATAAGTCTTTGTTTAAGTCAAATTATGAGAAATAGGAGTCATAGCAGTTGTGATAAGGAGTCATAGCAGTTGTGATAAGAACAGTTGCAGGGACAAGTGCTGTGCGTCAGATGCCTTCATCCTGTATCCCCGTGTCAGAATTCCTCCATGTCATCAACAAAACTCTATCCAAAATGAACAAACAATGAATCACAAGGAAGGCATTTTTCTGACCATTTAATCCTTCATTTAACAAAATAAAATGTGTTATTTTTAGTGATCAACTCATAATTATTGTTAAAATTAGATATCTTTCCTAGAGGACTTTACCAGGAAGTGAAATGATAAACTTTACCAAATAGTCAAAGTAGGGGAAAGTACGCTTTACTTTTAGTTAAATACTTTTTATGTGTGTGGTCTAACCTGTCATATACACTTTAAATTATATAATAATATACATGTAGGGTTGAGGAAAACCAGGTAGTGAGAGGGCAAAGGGTGAAAAGAGCAACTTGTCTGTGACATTCTAAAATAGTTCTGCCAGACTGACAACCGAGAGGAAGGCACATGAATACAGCAGAAAACATGGAGCGTAAGACAGATCTATAGACTTTAATACAAACCTATAGTGGTCATATTCTACAGACTGGAGCAGTTTAGAAGGCGTGGTCCCAGGGTTCCCCAAGTTTTTTCTTTGGCAGCCCGAATGTTAGCGAGCCGAGGGCTTAATCGTGATGATACAAATGTCCAAAAATACCTTCCTTGTGTGTAAATTGTCCCTGCCTATATCAGCAGAAAACTCCACCAAAATACAGAGGGATTCTGTTTTACAACTCAAGCACCAGTCTCTGTAATTGACCTCATAAATGGTCACTTAACTAATGTAAAACTATGATAAATATTGGCCAGTGAACCAAGTCAAAATTCCCATCCTCTTATATCCCTGAGTGCCAGATGAAGTCTTTCATATGTTCATCACCAGTACCTATAACTTGGCTTTCCACAGATCTGAAGTAGCAGTTGGATCAGTAGTAGCACTAGTAGTAGCATTTGTTTTGGTTCTTATGCTGCCTGGGGGTCAACTTTACCCTCTACCCCACAGAATGCTTCTCTTTGGGGCAGCGGTGAAACCTGAGCCCCTTCAGTCCTGGTTCCTCTCCACAAAGAGGATTGTTTAGGAGCAGGGACATGGGCAGAGGGGGAGGGAGATCAGACATGAGCAGGGGGCAGAGGAAGTGAGAGGAGGGGAAAGAGGAGAGGCAGGAACACTGACAGGGGCAGTGGGGAGGGGGTCACCCAAAAAAAAAAAAAAAAAAAAAAAAAAAAAAAAATCATACATACAAGCAAGGCAAGACAATACACATTCCAACCACAAGGAGGAAAATTAAAAGCTAAAATCTTTAGTCCTTTACTTTTTGCATCCTTGATTGGACTAGAAAAAAAAAAAAATTGTGCTCACCACCACCAGCTTAAACTTAAAGTTGCACTATGGCACGTTTGTGGTGGTGGTGGGGGTGACTACCAGCAATTGTCTCAGGGGAAGTGTTATTGCCTTGCCTCAAATGTTCCTCAGCAGGGCGTTAAAACTTCTCCCCACGGAGACCAAGTGACATGGGAAAGGGATATATGTTAGATTTGTGGAGAGAAGAGTCATCATGTGTATTTTTTTTTTCTCCATAATTGAATCCAGCAATTAACATTTAAAAGAATTAAATAAGAACTTTAAAAACATATCCAAGAATCAATTTCAGAACATGTTTGTGGAGGTCTAAACTACAGAGTTTACGCAGAATAAGATCCCATGGGGAAGAGGGAGGGCATCTGACACACAGGGACATTTCTGAACATGTTTGTAGGGTCTAAACTACAGAGAATTTGCTTTTACACATCAAATTGTTGAGATTTAGATTTTGTAATGTATGGAAATTTTGATACTCAAGTAGTTGCAGTTACTTAAATAAATGATGTTGTGATTTCAGTCCACAGAGTTGAATTAGAGGAAGTAAATTGCATTGAGGAGCAGTGAATTCCCTCCCTTAAACTCTTTGTAAATACCTGCGCCTCATTTTCCCTCCAACACCAGTGACAGACTCAAATATGAAGCTCACATTCCGGCCACAGGGGGCGCCACATTTACATATAATCACTTATGCAAAAACAATGAGGCTTCCTGCAGGGACAAGGGGGCTAAATTTAAAAGACAAAAAACTTTGATACTTTTTCTCTGGGTTTAAACTACCGCATCAACATATAAAGCTCGCTCTGATTTTTGGGTTCTGCAATGAAAAGGAATAAGCATCATTTTAAGCATGCAAATTCTTAGAACATATGTGGGACCTTAGTTTTTGTGTAAACTAAACTATGCCAAGAATGTTTAGTAAGAGCCCTTTTATACACGCAAACAGGGAATTTTATGTTTATTTATTTTTCTAATTAACCTATTACCTACTAAAACGCTCTACACAATGCAATGACACGGATTTTTTTTTAACTCAATATTTTAAACTAGTTTGGCCATTTCACTAATAGACTTTATTTGCTGAATAATTACAGTTGAAACGTAGGCGTCTTCTTGATGTCCTCCTTTGACGCCTTGGTCTTCTATTTGGGGACCACAGACATGGAAGCCAATTCAAATTACGCTCAAATTGTCCGTTTGCGTCTGTTAACGACGTTTAGCTTTGGGTTGTAAAACTGTCCGAAGAGTTTGAAGAAAAAAGGTAAACATTCTAAAACCAGAAAGTTGAAATTTAAGTTTGTGCAAAGTAAACTAACATCTTTTGTCCATTTGCAAACAGGCAAGATGCACTTTGGGGCTAAACAAATGTAGAAAATGTCTAGATTCTTTGATGTGTTACACGGGGGGTGACATAAGCGCACGAGTATGATCCTCTGCTTTGTGATTAGATCACGTCATACCAACATGATTCACGCAAAACACGCACAAAATTACAAAAAAAATGCATTTAGTGGATGCGACTTTGTAAATGTCTGGTTAGTGAGAGAGCTCGAGGCAAAGCACAAAGACTGAGGAGCAAACGGAGCAGGGCACGTCGGTCACGTCGCTGCGCCAGATGGACAAAACCACGCCACCAAATTAGCCGCTAGCTGCCCCTCCAATTTAAAACCAAAACACTCCGTCCGTGCACAATGAACAAAACGCGTGAACATGTGGCACTGAACGTTCGGAATGGCGTCTCCAATTACACACGAGCCAAGACGCACAGAAGCATACGATAGATGAGGTTTTAAAAATGTGCTTACCTCGTTTGAACGCTTTCATTGTTGTGTTGATGGCTGGATCTTCACAGCTGTCCAAGTTGTACAAAGCGTGCCTCCCCTCGCGTTAAAACGCCACTTTCTTCTCACAGATGGACGTTTTTGTAGTGTTTACGCCGTTTTAAAGACACATTTGCGTGACAGGAGCAAAATAACCGCACTGTGCCATCACGCGTAAAACAGTTGTGCTTTGGAGTCGTTTGAATCTTTTTACCTGCACGTAGCTCCGCCAGCTTTCTGCCAACCTCTTGACAGACGCAGATGGGTTTGTCCCGCCTTCCAAGCTCATCTCAACCAATCAGAGTGCTCTATTAAGCCCCTCGAACAGCAGCAGGCCAATCAGGATGCAGACAGGAGAGTGGAGTGTTGCGGTGACTGATGCACAGCCTTTTCATTCAAAAAGACGTCCATTCAGACATTTTACAGCAACACGGGGCATACAAACGACAATGTGCTAACGTAAGATTTATGAACTCTTGCGTCCAATTTGACTGCAGTTTAGAGCTCATTCTCATGCAAGCCTCACTGTGAACCGCTGCAGTTTACATAACTGAGAAAAAATGCACTGTTACATAAATCAAAACGTGGGACGCGTTTGAGGAGACTGCGTGCCCAGGATGACCACACGTCCCTGTTCACGCGGGACAGTTCCAGTTTTGAGCCCTGTGCCTCTCCGTCCCTGCACATTTATCCACAATCAGGGATTTGTCAGTTTATTATTATTATTTTTGTTTTGTTTTATTTATTTATTTATTTTTTACAATAAATGTCTTGGGTGTCCCCATTTTTGACCAATTTGATCCCTGCCAACAGTAAAGAGGCATACATTGTCATTTGTTTAGGTAAAATACAAAAAGTATGCATAGAAATGACCAAAACACCAAGAAAATGTGACTATATGAACATATGTTAGGCATGAATGGGCCAAGTGCATTACAGTTTTCCTTAATTACACACTCGTTTCGTTTAACAGTTTTATTATTACCAACCACCAGAAATTGTGGGTGTCCCAGTTTATGATTTTGAAAATCTGGTCATCCAAGGCGTGCCTACAACATCTGTCTGTTAAAAGTAAAATAACTCAAATAGCTGGAATACAGTTAGGTAGTAGGCCTACGGGGAGTTTAAATAACACTTATTATAACAGGGAGATCAGATTCATTAGGCTAAAAGTAGGCCTAACATAATGCAGAGTTTATAGGTCCACTATTATAGTTTTCAAGTGAACAGATCCTTGTACCTTTACTTCAGTAGAGATCGGCAATTTCAGAGCTGAAATGATCCAAATGATTCTAGTGAAGGTGTGTGGAGTTTAAAAACACAGTGGCACACTATATTAGCGTATTTTCTATAAGAAAGAAAACACTCAGCCTAAATGTGCAGGATTTGTGTGTTAAACATGTGTGAATGAAACAAAACACAACTCCAGGTCTGTTTGTGATGAGGAAACAACAGTATGACATCAAAGGTATTCCACGAAACAAACTAAAGCGAAAGCCTGTCTTATTTGAATAATCCAGGTTTGTCAAATCCTCAATTTCATTCTACCAAAGTGCCAAACCAGACTTGGCGCTAAGTGGCTGCAGTAACAAGCACAAATCTGAGGAGCATATTACGAATAGGTGGCTATTGGGTTAGTCAAGCTCAAACCCTGGATTTTCTCAATCACAAAGGCTACATCACTAAAGTCACAGCTAACCTGACCCGGAGCAGGTTAAGAGTCTGAGTTAAGATTTAGATCATACCTTGTCTCTCTTTGAACAAGTCTGTGTGCACATATTATTATCTGTGCAGTGTGTATGTGGGCAGTGAGTATACATGTTAAACCCTCTCCATCTTTTAAAATCACTTACACGATGTGCCAATTGAGGTTTAACTCACCAAGGTCACTTCTAGCAGTCACCAGAAGTGGTGCTCTTTTCTACTCACAACTCTTCAGTCCTTCACAACATTGTTTTCTTTGGTCCTCCAGAAAAAGTCTTTATTGAAATATGTTTTATATTCCACCGCATGCAGCACATGGACTCATCCTTCAGTAGCCTTGGGAAATCCACTCTTTGCTCCTGGTTTGTTTGCACACTGCAGCGATCTATCGAATATTATTCACACCTTTGCTCCTCTGCACTTTTATGCTCATAAAGTCTGTTTTTTCCAATGCATTTTAGGCTACAATATATTAAACTTAACCTGTTGAAATGTGCAAAGGGTAGATCAAAAAGAGCAATGATCTGCTGGATATGGGTCAATTTACAGAAATCAATTTTGTTCATTATTAGTAGCTTTTACAATCAGCTGTTAAGCATTCTGTGCATAAAACTGGTCAAATGACGTGGCACACACCCCTTTCCCCATGAGCGCGCACACAGAGACTGAAGCTCAAACTGTCGATATATAAATTCTGTCGTTATGTCTAAGCATGAGGTTCAGGGTTTGACAAGCCAGTTCACTGAATCACACCTGTCTGCTCTCATCAAAAAGGCATAAATAATATAAAAGTCTGTCTATGGCCATTATTTCTTTCAGATGATCTTGCACATGGCTGTTGTGAGGGGCAGTGCAGCTTTTACTCAAAGCTGGTTTGGACTCTGAGGATGAACTGGTTTTCAGCGGGTTCTGGCTGTGTGCTCTTTCATCATGTCTGTCACGCTCCTCTTTCCCTCATTTCTTCCCTCTGTGTCAAGCTGCAAACATTTTTATTGGTCAGTTCTTGTAACATGTAGAGTTTCATCATAGCTTTACTTATGCACAGCGGGACAAGCTCAGTGGTGGATGGTGGTATAATTTTTTGGTGGGCGCCTAAGCCAAAATTATAAATATATATTATAAATATATGTATTAGAGCTGTGTTCGCATTGCCGGCAGTAAGTCAGACCTGTTCCCGGTGCATGTTGGACTCCGCCAGGGCTGCCCTTTGTCACCGGTTCTGTTCATTGTATTTATGGACAGAATTTCTAGGCGCAGTCAGGGGTCGGAGGTGGTCCAGTTTGGGAACCACAGGATCTCATCTCTGCTGTTTGCAGATGATGTTGTCCTGTTGGCTCCATTGGGCCAGGACCTGTAATGTGCACTGTGGCGGTTTGAGTGTGAAGCGGCAGGGATGAGGATCAGCTCTTTTAAGTCCAAGGCCATGGTTCTCGACCAGAAAAAAGGTGTCTTGCCCTCTCCGGGTGGGTGGGGAGTCCCTGCCTCAAGTGGAGGAGTTCAAGTATCTCGGGGTTTTGTTCACGAGTGAGGGAAGGATGGAGAGTGAGATTGACAGGTGGATCAGTGCAGCATCTGCAGTGATGCGGTCGCTGTATTGCACCGTTGCGGTGAAGAGGGAGCTGCCAAAAGGCGAAGCTCTCGATTTACTGGTCATTCTTTGTTCCTACTCTCACCTATGGTCATGAGCTCTGGGTAATGACGGAAAGGACCAGATCGCAGACACAAGAGGCTGAAATGAGTTTCCTCTGCAGGGTGTCTGGGCGCTCCCTTAGAGATAGGGTGAGGAGCTCAGTTACATCGGAGGTGCTCCGAGTAGAGCTGCTGCTCCTCTAAGTCGAGAGGAGCCAGTTGAGGTGGCTCGGGCATTTGTTCTGGATGCCTCCTGGGCACCTCCATTAAGAGGTGTTCCGCATGTTTGTGAGGATTCACATGGTTCAGAGGGACGTATTCAAGGTGGGGGCAGTTGTGGTGAAGGTGGCCGCAATGCCCCAATCACAGACGAGTTCCCTCGTGAATATTAAAGAGCCGAGCCTCTGTGTAGCTGCACATGTAGTGGCTGAGTGTAAACACAGACAGACAGCAAAATCACTTGTGCAAAGCCCTGCACTGAACTGAACGTCCCATACCCAAACAGTTCGGCACGAATACATGTACCATTACACTCCTACTATAGAGTACTCTAATGAATACCAGAAACAGGCAGTCATTTGGTTATCCCCAACAACATGTCCTGACACACCTGTCACAACCAGCCCCAACAACCAGCCTCAACAACCAGCCCCAATGACACAATTTCACCACAGACAGTATTGGACAGAGCTAGCATTCTAGAAACTGCGTTCCAAACAGGAAGTACGCCGGGAGACTCTTCCGGCTCCTTCTGACCCTGACTCCAATTGACTTACATTAGGATCTTGTAGCTTTTGTCCCCAAATCAAGATATGAACATTAATAATGGACCAATCAGATGCTTTCATTCCCCTAGTGTTATCAACAGGTTTGATTGACAGTTAATGCATTTCGTTGCCAAGTAAGCCGCCTTCCTGCTTTCCGGTGAGAAGAGCAGGCATATTTAATTACTTCAATCATGATTGGCTCTTGTGGTTGCTATGATACTCGCGATCAGATTTCCAAATATGGAGCCTCCAAATTCACTCCTGTAACTGTGTAGCCACAGTTACAGGAGTGATGATTGACAGCCGATTAACAGCCACAGATATCCAACATGGCATGGAACTGGTGCCTCCGGACTTTGAAACAGAGCAGACATTTCTGTCTTCTTCAGACACGTCGGGCTATTGTGGTGCCCATTGGCCTAAGCAAAACCTGTGCAGCTCTGAATCAAGGCAGTGTCTCCATTTTTACTTGGTCACACATAATAAATGTGTCCTTTGTGTCTTACTCATCCTTCAGTGTCTCTGGGCTAAACATGCATTTGACCCATCCTTCAGTGTTGTTTTGCAGATGTTGTTTTAGGTTGATGGAGAAAACAAGAAGCAAAAACTGTGACATGTGAGGTCAACACCTCATTAGAATGCTGAATAAACAGACTTAGCCTTTAGACATGAATAGGCACAGTTACTCCATTTGGTCCCATTCTGTGAGGGTCGTTCTCACCGTTTCACTGGAGGCTTTGAGGTGTGGTCTTGATCTCATCTCTTTTTAACGCCCTCCCACAGGTCAGCCCTCCTTTGGACCAAACACTCAGATGACTTACTATGTGCTAAACAGGCTACAGAAGTGCACTTTCAGATATATGGGCTCACCAAGGGAAAATATGAATTCATTTTTTAAATCCAAAACAAACGTTAATTCAAAACGGTAAACATATCTAGCTTGTATTATCCCAGATGTTTTTATTGCATTTATTTTATTACCCTGAAATTGTATTACCTCGTGTTATTTTTTTCCCAGTTCTGCCAAGACCTGGTTGGTGAACCTGTCCCCTTCACTCTAACCTCAAACAGATGAACTCTTAAACCTAACTTGAAAAAAAAAATATTTTCAAAAATGTACATGTGCTAGCATAGCCAGCCACCAATGCAGAGGTATGGCTGTAT